ACCACTGGTTGTGGCTTGGGAGCAGGGGCTTCCTTCTCCACCCGCACTTCTGCATCGTCGGCTGGAAGTGCTGAAGCAGGTAGTAGTTCCTCCTGGCTAGCCGGGACAGGATCAGCAGAGATGGTTTTACCGCTCCTGGTAAAAATGGCATCCAGCTGCTGGAGCTTGTGAGGATCCCGAGGATTCGGGATAGTGGTGGCAGGCAGAGTCCCCGGTGCCCTGGTAGTGTTTTGGCGAGCCAAGATGCCCACCTGGGTCTGCAGATCCTGCAAAATGGCACCCTGGTTTCGCTGACCTGCCTCCAGTGACGTGATAGCAGCCTGAGTGCTAGTCATGAATGAAGCTAGAATATTTTCCAGCTTTGTCATCCGGTCATCTGGGGCAGGGGCTGCTGCTGGCTCGACAAACTGGCGCTGGGGCTGCTGGAATGGTTGCCCCTGCCTAGGTTGGTAGGGCTGCTGTTGTGGAACTGGCCCCTGTCGAGCCTGGAAGGGCTGCCTCTGCTGAAAACCACCTGCTGGTGCTGGGAAACCAGGTGGTTTAGTGGTGTTTCTGCTCCAGGCGAAGTTGGGATGCCAGCGCCACCCCTCATTATATGTGTTGTTGTACGGGTCGAGGCGCCGAGCATTGGCGATGAAGTCTAACTGCTCTTGGGGAGTGGTAGACTCCCTCATAGCCTGGCAGTCTTCCACTAGGTGATTGGAGCTCTCGCACCACTGACATTGAGCTACTGGAGGTGTAGCCAAACCTCTGCCCGGAATAAGACTGTTGGGCTGCTTCAATGTCTGCACTAGCTCAGCTACCTGCTGCTCGAGCCCGGATCTGGTCTCCATGGCGTGCACACCACGGTCCCGGGACTGTCTGCCTCTGCTGCTCTGTCCCCAGGAATGATCTCTGGCAGCCAAAGTATTAATCATCTGGTTCAGCTCTGGTGGAGTCTTAGTAAGAACATCCCCTCCTGGGCATAGAGACTCAATCACCCTCTGGCTGTCTGGAGAGAGAGCACTGTAGAAGTTCCCCACTGTGAATGCATTACTAAAGCCATGATGGGGACACTGCCAGAAATATCCCATGTACCGCTCCCATGCATCACGAAGTGACTCATCTGGCTCTTGGCGGAAGTGAGTGATCTCCCGCTGGATCTCTGTAGTCTTCGATGCCGGATAGTACCTGTGCACGAATTTGTCAGCCAGGTCGTCCCAAGAGGTGATGGACAATGGGGGCTGGGTCTCCAACCACCTCTTAGCATTCCCCGCCAGAGAATGGGGGAAGAGATGAAGGCGGATTGCATCATCCGGGACACCATTCAGCTTGAACCCGTTCGTCAGCTGCAGAAAACGGGAAAGATGCACCCTGGCCTCCTCATCCTTCAAGCCATGGAACTGGATAGAGGATGTGATGAGCTGAATCCATCATGGCTTGATCTCGAAGTTATTTGCTAGAATAGGCGGGTAGAGGATGACCGGGAGGATGTCAGCAATCCGAAGAGTGTAGTAGTACTCCAAGGTGGGACCCGGCTGCGGTGGATGATGAACTCCATGATCCTGGGGTATGGGGTTGTTCCCCAGGACCCGATTCACCGGGGGAACCTACTGCGGATTCCCCTGGTGCTGATTGTAGTCTCCGTCCATCCCGTACTCTTCTTCAGAATCGCTACTCAGGTGGCCGTCTATGCGCTCTTCCGTAGCCAGTCTAGCTCGCTGTTGTCTCCTGAGCTGGCGACATGTGCGGTCAATCTCTGGATTCAACGGCAGTAAACCTCCTGACTGGCTACGGGTCATGCACTACCTGCACACACTCAAGCAAGCAAACCCGTGAAGGCACAAGTGGGACCAAGCAAACAAAGCAAAAGGAAAAGCTAAATTAACAGAAATCACTTTTCTTCAACAACCAAGCCGTCCCCGGCAACGGCGCCAAAAACTTGACTCACTTCTACTGTCACCCTAGGAATTAGCCAAGTGTAACCACTTCCTAGAGCGTAGTATAGCGGGTTTGGGTTTTAATAACAACCCGGGTCCTAGATTTGATTACTACTCAGTGAATTCTTGTTATCTAGCAATGAAACTTTAATGCAAGTCTAAACTACCAAACAAACAAAGCAAGTAAACTGTTGTATTCAGGTTAAGAGAGGTCACCCGGATATGGTTCCCCCTAGACTGCAGTTAAGCCGGATTGTAATTACCAAGTTCAGTTTCTATGATAGTTATACTGCGGAAGGTTCTTAAACAGCCTGAAGTCTCGACTAAAGGTCTTCAGACCCTCTCAATCTGAGTCTCTAGCGGGCGACTAACCTCCACCGGAGTAAACAGATTGAGGCCTTAACAAACAAAACCTCCACTACCGGAGTAAATCCGGTACAGAATAGTGAGTTGGCTCCTCGACTAAAGTCACCAACTCCCTACCTTCAATCAAGGATGCTCTATCAACCTAGGCAAATATTCTCATTCTAGGTCAAAGCAGAAACAACAGGAATTTGATCAGGATTCAAGTCATTCAATCCTTCAAACCTCAATCGAATATAATCAAATCATAGAATCAGTACTTGGGTTCATACAATCAAAACCTAACATACAAATCTAGGGTTCTCCATACCCAGATGAATGGGAGAACTACTCCATGGAGAAAGAAGGAAAAGCAGAATCAGACGCGGAATTCATACTGTGAAGGATGGATTCCTGCTCCTGGACGTTGATCGGCACTTCTCCAAGCTCAAGCTGGCCTCCAATGGTGTTGAAGATCAATCTAGGGCACTTGGAGACTCTTGTTCGTCGCTTTCTCTCTCTAGGAATCGCTCTATCTCTCTCAAAACTCGAATCCCCTTCTGTTTGGCTGAAAATCTGCTTAAAAGGGCATCAGTGGCCAAAGCACGGTCGAGGGCACGGCCGTGTAATGCCTCAGCCCGCCCGTGCTTTGGCTAGTGTTAATTACACTAGGAGAAACACGGCCGTGCTTTTGGGAGGACACGGCCGTGCTTTGGTGAAGCACGCCCGTGTTCTATCTCAGCCCTGCCCGTGCTTTGGCCAATGTTTGCCAAACTCGAATTAGCTCTCGGCAGTAAAAGCACGGTCTCAGAACACGGCCGTGTTCTGGTTTAGGTGTGCCCGTGTTTTGGCTCAGTTTCACCGAAATGACTTCCGAATGCCCCGAAACTCGTGCTTAGCCTTCCCTTTTACACCTGGGACCTGAAACATGACAAAATAGCACAACCCGGCATAAAATAGGCCAAAAACACACGACTATGCCCCTCAAACGAATAAGAACTAGGGGCGCAAATATGTGCAATTACATCGTTATCAGAGACATCCGCCGTCGACACAATTCTGATCATATACCGCTCGTCGCCAAATTCCAACGGGATCTCCTCAGGGATCCTCCCGGCTGCCCTCACCCTAATCCTCACAAAATCCTACGACTAGTGATTCCAGTCAATTTCCACCAGAACACCGCAAAAACTCCCAATGCTTTTGATTAAGTCTATTCTTTCTAAATTGAGAGGGATTCCAAAAGCCAGAACCCATTGATCTTCCGACGATCTCTTGATCTCGACCCCTTCCTTCCAATCAGAGATGTGCATGACGATTAGAGTTTTATGGCGAAAAAAATTAAATTTTCTACTATTGCTTGTCCTGGCTTCCTTGTATTTCTATTGCTTGTTATACACTATCACGGTTGCATCGTATAGGTGTCAAAACATAGCCCGAACCGATTAACCCGCCCGATCAATCCGACCCGCAACCCGACCGCAACTTGAATTGACTAAAAGTCAACAACCCGTAACCCGCTTGACCCGTAACCCGATTCACCCGCAACCCAACTAACCCGCAACCCAATTAACCCGAACCCGATTGACCCGAACCCGACTAACCCGTAACCAGACCGACTCAACCCAAACTTTACGTAATCCATTTGAATAATTATTATAATATACAATACATAGTTTTTCAAAATAAAGTTTTTCATTCTAAAATGTAAGTATAATTATTTTTACATTTCGTATAGGAAATTTAAAAAATATGAAACTCACTTGATATTATGTATTTTATGAAAATTACAAAAATTGAAACATGAAGGTTATTTGAACACTAAGTTCTTTAAAAAAATTAAAAAAGTAAAAATAAAATATAAAACCTACATAATGTCAATATTAATAATGAAGAATTAATAATTGAGATCATGAACAATATAAATATAATATATATATTAAAATTTTGGTTAATTTAACTATTTAATAAAATTATCAATTAAATATAAATAAAGTAAAGTAATGTATTTGGTAATTTGATGTTTTGTAAAAGAAGAGGAAAATTTTGGTGCATTCAACATTTTTTTTTCCGTTGAATCAGCTTCTTTATTGCCAAAGAAAAGAGACCAATACAACGAGGGGGAGTCATGAAGACCCCAAGAGAAAGACAAAAACAAAACTTGGGAAGAGAAAGAAGAGGAAATTTTGGTTCTTTGAATTTTTTAGAAAAGAAACAATTGGAAATTTTGGTGGTTTTGATTTGTAGGAAGAGAAAGAAGTGGGAAAGTTTGGTTCTTTTGATTATGAAAGAGAAACAAGGAGGAAAATTTTGAGTTTTCAATTTTTTTGTGGAAGGAAGGAAAGAAGAGGGAAATTTGGTTCTTTCAATTTTATGGAAGTGAAAAAGAAGGGAAAATTGAGTGTTTCTAATTTATGGAAGGAGAAAGAAGGAGGAAAATTTTAGTTTTATTTTTTTTTTTTGTGAAAAGAAAGAAGGAAACAAATATGGTGTTTTCAATTTTTTGGTTTTCTAAAATTTTAGCCTCTGAAATATGAATCTTTAATTTTTGTATGGAGGGCATGGCCAGTTAAATTTATTTTTATATGCTTTGAAGACTAATATATATATATATATATGTAATTTTTTATGCTAATAAATAAATTAACCATTAGTTACAAGAATTATACTAAATTTGATAAGTAATCTTTGACGGTTCGTTATTTAGGGTATAAAGTATAGGACTTTGCTACGGTGACATGCACTTTTCGGTCAACCTCATGTAGGATTAGGTCGACCTAATCTGTTGTTTCAGTGTAAAAACAGTTTCATGGTGTCTACTTTGGAGATTCATATCTTACAATTGGCTAGATGGAAATTGGAGATTAAAGGCTTGTTTTGAAGCTGAAGTGCCCCTCTACACATTAAAGTACTTGGGAGCTCAATAGAAAGTCCAGAAGACCATTTTTGAACCTGGCCAAAAGGCTATGCCAAAACTGGGAAACGGCCTGAAAATGGCCAAGTCTGGCAACGTGTTTGTCAAGCCTACTTTGGAGCTCAATTTGAGAAGCATAGATGCAAGTCAAGTCCAGGGGCCTCTACCACGTTAAATTACGTATTTTTTTATACAAAGGCAAGGCATTGGATGAAAGATTGAATATCTTTAAGACTTCAAACAAAAGGCTCGAGTTGCTACGAAGGTTGTTTTTCTGGCAGCTTGCTTGTGCTCGAAGTCTGCCAGAAAAACAACCTTCGTAGCAACTTAGACCCTTTTGTTTGATGCCTTACAGATATCCAATCTTTCATCCAATGCCTTGAATTCGTATAAAAACATACCTAATTTAACGTGGTAGATGCTCCTTGACTCGACTCGCATTCATGCTTCTCGAATTGAGCTCCAAAATAGGCTTCACAAACACGTTTCCAGACTTAGCCATTTTCAGGCAATTTCCCTGTTTTGGCATAGTCTTTTGATGAGGTTCAAAAATGATCTTCTGAACTTCCTATCGAGCTCTCAATCACTTCAATATGTAGAGGGACACTCCAGCTTCAAAACAAGTCATTAGTCTTCAATTTTCATCTAGCCAATTGTATGATATGAATATCCAAAGTATGCACCATGAACTGTTTTTACACTGAAACAACATATTAGGTCGACCTGATCCTATATGAGGTCGAGCGAATCCTAAATGAGGTCAACCAGATCCTATATGAGGTCGACCGAATTCTAAATAAGGTCGACCTAATCCTAACTGAGGTCGACCGGAAAGTGCAAATCACGGTGACATGCATGTCACCGTAGGCACACCCTAAAGTATATGGTTAGAGTATAGGGTACTGATGGTTTAGGGTGTATATGGTTAGGGTATAAGACATTGATGGTTTTGACGGTTCTACGTTTGTTATTAACATATGTTCACTTGAAGTCATTTGAAGTCTTTAACGGTAGGAGATTCATTTTTAATTTATGTTTATGGTAACATGGTTAGTGTACAATGTATGTTGTGTAGAGTATAGGATATATGGTTAGGGTATAGCAATTAGCAAATATCACTTTTTATCTATGTTTTGAAAATCAAAGTATGAATTTCACTTTTAAATTAACTATACTAGCAAAATCACAACTCAAGGACATATGGTTAGGGTATAGGGTATGTGGTTAGTGTATAATGTATTGATGGTTTAGGGTATACAATCAACAACATATACTAACTTAATATTGTCGATTGAGGGTAAGGCTAAGTGTATAGGATATATGTTATTGAGTAAGTTATGATTGAAGTCACAATAATTTTACTAAATTTGATAGTTAATCTTTAATGATTCAAATTTTAGGATAATTCGAACAATTTTACAATAACTCGTTTGGCAACAGTTTAGTGAAGTTATTTGGGCAATGAGTTATTTCGAAATAACTCCTTTTATCACTCTGCTTTTGCAAAATACCACACGCCAAATACCATATTTGCATGGTTATACTAAACGAGATACTTTAATTCAATTACTACTTAATTAATACTAAAATATAAATAAATAATTAATTGTGTCTTTTGGTTGCAAATATTTATATCACTAATAGTGTACTTTACCAATTATGATTAATTACATAACAAGTTTGCAAGTCATACAAATTTATTTAACATTTTCACTAGTTTTTTTTAATTAAGTATATATATATATATACGAGATAGAAATAAATTAGTTGAAAAGTTTAGAAAATATTTTAAATTAGTGAAATAAAATGTGCAAGTTGGTAAAAAGAAATGAGTAAGTTACTCGATGCGCTGGCCCGGACAACCCGAAACCCGATCCGCCCGCAACCCGCCCGACCCAAAACCCGATGAACCCCCAACCCAATTAAACCCAAACCCGATGAACCCGCAACTCGCCTAACCCGTAATCCGCTTGAAACTGAACCCGGTAAACCCGAACTAGATGAACCCGCAACTCGACTAACCCGCAACCCGTTTGAACCTGAACCTGCCCGATTGACACCTATTTGCATGCTTCATTTCTTGGATTTTTCCCATTATTAATGATCATTTTCACGAAGAAGGAGAAAATTGCTCTTTGTTCTTTAAAATGAATGGTTTCATTTTTGTAATTTTCTAATTGTTCCAAAGTCTTAGAAGTTGAATGAATCATGTAACATCTTATTCAGGAAAAACTCGTATTTCGATCGCTAGAAAGTTCGCGATTTAAAATCGAGCGTTTTGATAGTATTTTGACGAAAATCGAATTATCGATCGATCGATCGGATAAGTATACATATATTTTGACGAAAATCGGATTATCGATCGATCGGATTAATTTTAGAAATTCAAAAAAATTAATTTTTTATTTTCTGATAGCTGACGTGGCAAGTGAGGTGGACTTTGGCTAACGGTAAACTCGGTTGACCGTCTAATTTGACTGTCAAACCCACCTCCGGGCCAAATAAGAAAGTATGCTATATAGTTTAGGCCAGAATAGCAATTTCCGATACCACGGGCCAAGGTAGAAAGTTTGTCTATAGTTCGAGCCAAACTAAGTATTAACCCAATACATTATTACAGTTTGACCTTGGCCCAACCAAAGGTTTCACTTCGGTTGACCGTGGGCCAAACGAAAATTAATTTGTGTTTTGGCCCATGGTCAACCGAAGTCAAACCTTCGGTTGGGCCAAGGCAAAAATGCAAATTTCTAGCGTTGCTTCTTCTTGGCAGGTCAACATAACGGCAGGAGGCAGAGGAGAGGCAATTGGAGGCCGAGCAGAGATTCTTTGTAATTGCTGGCGTTCATTCTTTCCTTCTCTCCTTCTTCTCTGGCCGGGCAGATTCTTTGCGGTAAGAGACGGCGAGGTTGAGCAAGTGACAGTCAGTGACGGTAGAGGAAGGCGACAATGCAAGAGATCAAAGGGTCGGCAGCGGTGCTCAGAGGTCATTGGTGGCGGCGCTAGGAGGTCTGGGAGGTAATCGGCGGCGCTGGGAGGTTGGCGCCGGCGGAGAGGGTTTGACGGTGAAATATGAGAGAGAACAGGGAGGTGTTTGTTTGTATTTGAAAGTGAAATTCAAATAGGATAATTAAGTAAATTGCATATTAAAATTACGACAACGATTAGTAAATTTAGGACGACATTTAGCATTTCAGTTTTTTTTTTCGTGGATGACCACATTAAGAAACTTAAAGGATGAAAGCATCCAGCATTGTAGACGGCAGCTAAGAAAACTCTTATGAAGTGGTGATGGGAGCTCTAATATTGGTTCATGTCATCAGTTGTTTCCAGATACCCGCTCCACTCAGGGTTGTCTCCATTCAAATTAAGATCATTTTTATGGAACATGACTCCAAGCTAACAATGTACATAGTGATAGGGATAAATATCTCTTATAATTAGTGTTGATTGTTTCTCCACTATTTGTATTACGTTGCTGATATTCAGCAGTTAGTTGCACGCACTTTGACTCGCTCCTACCGTCACTTTAGAAAATGGCCAAGTGTAACCACCTCCTAAAGCGTAGTATAGCGTGTTTGGGTTTTAATGTCAACCCGGGTCCTAAATGTGATGACTACTCCGTGAGTTCTTATTATATAGTGATGATAGTGTAGTGAAGGTCCAAACAAGCAAACAAGCAAAGCAGTTAAAGGTTGTTTTCAAGTTGAGAGAGGTCACTCGGATATGGTTCCCCCTAGACTGCAGTTAAGCCGAATTGTAATTTACCAAGTTCAAATTCAAAGATAGTTATACTGCGGGAGGTTCTTAAACAGTCTGCAGTCTCGACTAAAGGTCTCCAGACCCTCTCAATCTGAGTCCCCAGCGGGCGACTAACCTCCACTGGAGTAAACAAATTGAGGCCCTAACGAACCAAACCTCCACTACCGAAGTAAATTCGGTACAGGATAGTGAATCGACTCCTGACTAAAGTCGTCAATTCACTACCTTGAATCAAGGGTGCTCTATCAACCTAGGCAGATATTCTCTTTCTAGGTTAAAGCAGAGACAACAGGAATTTGATCAGGATTCATGCCATTCAACAAATCAAACCTCAATTGAATAAAATCATATCACTGAATCTGTACTTGGGTTCATACAATCAGACCTAACATACAAATCTAGGGTTCTTCATACCCAGGTGAAAGAGAAAGTTACTCCATAGAGAGAGATGGGAAATATAGCTCAAACGCTGAAACCATACTGTGAGTGATGAGATCCTGCTTCTGGCACTTAATCAGCTCTTCTCCAAACTCAAGCCGGGCTCCAATGGTGATGGAGATCGATCAAAGGCACTTTAAGAATCAGGTTCGTCACTATCTCTCTCTAGGTATACGCTTTGTCTCTCTAAAACTTGGTTCCCTCTCTTTTGGCTCGAAATTGGGTTAAAACCCATAAATTCCCGACCACACAGCTAGGCCACACGGCCGTGTGGCTTTCCAGTTTCCCCGTGTGGATGTTAAAACGCGGCGTTTCGATTAGTGGGCTTTTAGCCATGCTGCACGGCCAGGGGCACAAGGCCATGTGGGTTTCCAGGCTGGTCGTGTGAGCTCCCTAGACTTTCCACACGGCCACAAGGGGTCCCCTACACGGCCAGTGTGGCTTGCCCGTGCAAAGTGGTGCCACACGGCCAAGTCACACGGCCGTGTGGGATTTTAGGCGTGCCCATGTGAGTTCCTCAGCTTCTCGCCAAACGTCCAATCTTAGTCCAATCGACCCTGAACTCGTTCCCAAGCCTTCATTCACGTACTAGGACCTGAAATATCACAAACAAGAACAACCTAGTGTGAAATCGGCCTAAAACACGAGAATCAACATATCAAACGGCTCAAGAATAGGGGTAAAAACATGTGCAATCAATGGTCTATCACACTTCTACTTAGGAGTAGCTCTTTCTGTTTACCTATTGTATCCAGTACCCTGTATAAATCCCTTTCACCAATAATACATCATATGGGATTTTCGACTCCACTTCATGGTATCAGAGCCTCACTAGACTCTAACGAGTTTTCTCTTTTCTTCTATGCTATCTTCCCTTTCTTTTTCTTCTACTACTTCCTAGTACAATGTCGACAGTTTCCTCACACTCTTCTTCTTCTACTACTTCTGTCTCCTCCGTCTCTGTTATTCCTCTGTCTCTCCCATCCAATCCTCAGTTGACCGTCAAACTGACACCGACAAATTACCTCTTATGGAAGACTCAAATTCTGCCACTTCTCTGTTGTCACAGGCTGATTGGTCACATTGATGGCACAGTGCTGCCTCCGCCGGCAACCATCGATTCCCAACCGAATCCCTCTTATGTTGAGTGGTATGAAACATATCAGCTGGTTCTTATTTGGATAACATTTTCTTTATCTGAAGCAATGATGCCCAATATTGTCAACAAATCCACTGCTCGTGATGCCTGGGAATCTCTCGCCCAAGTCTATGGATCTGCTTCGCCGGTGATTATACGTAAGCTCAGTGGCTCCCCAGTCGCTTGACCCGCGGCTCCAAATTTGCTCATGAATTTCTGCAGGTGCCAAGGAGATCTCCGACAAGCTTGCGGCTCTCTGTGACCCTGTCAAGGGGTCCGAGCTTGTTGGCACTATCATGGATGGTCTTGGTGAGGTTTACCGTCCCTGTACCCGAAATCTAGAAGCAAAACTTGAGCCTATTTCGTTTGATAATCTCAGCAGTCTTCTCCTGAGCGAAGAAATGCAACTTAAGCGCTATTAGTCGGGTGCTGGTGACCTGGCTTCTCCGCAGGTGTTCTACTCTTGTGGTGATTATCGCAGCAAGGGAGGCAAAAATTCAAGATGAAGGGGTGGCCGGAGTGGTATTGGTGGTCGTGGTGCTTATGGCCATCAAAACCCTTCTCGGCCAACCCTCAATCCTAGCCCAACTCTTATTCTAACCAACAGTTTAATTCTTATCAGCCCATGCATGCAGGTGTACTTGGAGCTGGGGCTTCTGGTCCATCAAAGACTATTTGCCATAATTGTGGAGGAAGAGGCCATATCCGGCCCAACTTTCCATGCCCTTTATATCAAGCCCACTCCTCTTATCCTTTCGGCCCATCTTCCCACCTAGCCCAAACCTCCCATCCAGCTCAATCTTCCTAGCAATGGCTCATGGACTCTAGGGCCAACCATCACTTGACTTCAGATTTGGACAATTTGGCTAATCATTCCGAATATAATGGCACTGATAGCGTCACCTTTGGAAATGGTAAAACACTTCCAATCTCTCACACTGGCTCATCTCAAACTTTCATTCCTAATTATTCTCCTTTCTTTGAATTATATATTGTGTGTTAAAGATGCCCCTCATAATCACCTTTCGGTGAGTTCTCTTACTCGGTCTAATCCTATTTCCATTGAAATTTTTTATTCTTATGTCATTATCAAGGACCGCCGCACCAAGCATGAACTCTACCGGGGCTCCAAAATTGACGGTCTTTACTCACTACCGCTTCACATCACCAGTCGGTTTTCTCCTCGTGTTTTTGTGGCATCTCTTGATCTTTGGCATCAACGTCTTGGTCACGCAAATCTACAAGTTTTTCGTCATCTTATGTCCCATCATCAAATCAATTATGCACCCAATCCCTCTTCGTTATGCCATGGGTGTTCAGTTAGCAAAATTCACAAACTTCTGTTTCCTTCTTCTAGTTATAAAGCTACTGCGCCATTAGAACTTATAAACTTTTGAGTGTGTTTGTTCAGTTTCGTCAACTCGTTGAGAAGTTCTTTGGTCTCCCTATAAAATCCTTTCAATCCGACTGGGGTGGTGAGTATGAGGCGCTTTCAACTTATCTTGCCCACCATGGTATAGTTCATCCTTCTTCTTGTCCATATACTCCTGAACATAATGGTTGTGTTGAACGTAAACATTGTCATATAGCCACCAATTGTCTTGTAATGTTACATCATGCACATGTCCCTCTTAAATATTGGCCTCTTGCTTTTGACACTGCATGTTATCTCATTAATCGCACTCCCACACCTCTTCTTCAAAATACTACTCCATTTGCTACTTTGTTTTCTCGTGATCCTGATGTTCACAATCTTCGTGTCTTTGGTTGTTTGTGTTATCCTTGGCTCCGTCCTTATGTAGCTCATAAACTTGCCCCTCGCTCTGTTGCTTGTGTTTTTCTTGGCTATCGTAAGCTACACAAAGTTTATCTATATTAGTCGCCACGTTCTATTTGACGAAAAAGTGTTTCCTTTTGCAGATCTGAAGTCCGGCCCACAACCAAAGTCCTCAACCCATGACCCTACTACGCCTATTCTTTTGCCTACTCTACCCACTATTTCTCTTGGCCCATCTCTCTCCCCCCCCCCCCCCCTCCATCTGTCAGCCCACCACCTACTACTGAAGCCCACAACCCTCAAGACTCTCCAACCCTTGCCCGCCCTGTTATGCCCTCCTAACCCGTCGCCCACCGTTCCCATTCTGCCCCTATCCACCGTTGTCCTACCCTCTTCCACCACTACCCCCACCCTCTGCCTCTCGCATTCAACCTCCTCCAGCTACCCTATCTACCCGTCCTTGGTTCAGTACTTCCCCTCGCCTCATACCATCTTCCTCTACTACTCCTCCTCCTCCAAGATGAATAGTCACATGCCAGCAAACTGGGAATCTAAAACCCAAACAATTTCTGGCGGCTGCTCCATGTTTGCTCCCGTCCACCGTCGCCCAAGCCCTATAATCTCCACACTGGAACTCGACAATGACGACTGAGTTTCATGCCTTGATTCGCAATCAAACCTGTGATCTGGTTCCCCCCCCCCCCCCACCTAACTGCAATATCATCTCCTATCGTTGGGTCTATGCGATTAAGACTCATTCCGATGGCTCTGTCAAACATCATTGCGCACGCCTTGTGGCTTTTGGTTTTGAGAAGGTACCCGGCCACGATTTCACAGAGACTTTTAGTCCCGTGATCAAACCTGCCACGCTGCGCTTAATCTTAGGTATTGCCATTTCCCATTCTTGGCCTCTTCACCAACTGGATATATCCAATGCGTTCCTCCATGGCACCCTAGAAGAAGAATTTTATATGCAGCAACCTAAAGGCTTTGTTGATAAGGATCATCCGAATTATGTGTGCAAACTGCGGAAGTCCATTTACGGCTTGTGCCAGGCTCCTCGCTGCTAGTTCAAATGCTTGTCTGCTGCCATTCGTGACTTTGGTTTTCAGGCTTCCATGACTGATCCCTCCCTCTTTATCTTTCGCAATCCAACAGCAACACTCTACATGCTGGTGTACATTGATGATATTGTTATCACTGGTAATAACTCTGGCCTTCTACAGCGCCTACTCTCTTTTCTGCACACTTGATTTTCCCTTCGTGATCTTGGTGACTTATCCTATTTCCTTGGGTTGGAGGTTCATAAGACTTCCACTGGTATTCTACTCAATCATTCCAAATATGTCTGTGATATTCTGGAGAGGTCAGGCATGGCTGATGCCAAACCAATTACTACTCCATGTACAAGTGATCTTATTGTGGAGTGTGTTATGGACGCATCCGCTGCTTTCTCTGATCCTGGGCTATATCGAAGCATTGTTGGCGGCCTGCAATATCTTAGCTTCACTCGGCCGGATATATCCTTTGTTGTGAACCATGTTTCCCAGTATCAGCAGGCCCCAAAGGAAGTTCATTGGTCTGCTGTTAAGCGCATTTTGCGCTACTTACAGGGGACTATCACACGTGGTCTGGTCTTCAATCGCTCATCCAGCCTTCACGTACATGGATATTATGATGCCTCTTTTGCTTCTTGTCCCCAAGATCGGAAATCAGTCACCAGCTTTGCAGTTTTTCTCGAGAGTAACTTGGTCTCTTGGTCTACTCGTAAACAGAAATCGGTGGCGCGTTCCTCTACTGAGAGTGAATACCGGGCACTGGCTACTCTTGCCTGTGAGGTAATATAGTTACAGGCACTTCTTTCCGAACTTGGCCAGCCCATTTCCTCTTCTCCGGTGCTTTGATGTGACAACCTTGGGGTGACATACTTAGCTCATAATCTTGTTTTCCACAATCGATCCAAACATATGGAGATAGATTTTTATTTTGTTCGCGATCGTGTTGCCAAGGGCCAGTTCCATGTTCGCTACTTACCTGCCACTGATCAAATAGCCGATGTGCTTTCCAAGCCCCTCACTCGGCTTCCCTTCCATCAGTTCTGTTCCAAATTTCACCTGTCCGAGGTTTCACTTGTGGGGGCGTGATAGGGATAAATATATCTTATAATTAGTGTTGACTGTTTCTCCACTACTTGTATTATGTTGTTGATATTCAGCAGTTAGTTGCACACACTTCTGCTTAGGGTTAGCTCTTTCTGTTTACCTATTGTATCTAGTACCCTGTATAAATCCCTTTCATCAATAATACATCAGATGGAATTTTCGGCTCCACTTCACATAGAACGTCATACAACTCGAACTCACGATTCATCTATGAATTAGTGTTTCTTTAGAAAGAAATAAACCCTTCAAATTTCTTGTTGCGAAACTTACACCTGTAGTAGGGTAAGTACGTACCTCAATTAGTTACAAATAAAACACTCTTAGAGATCTTCATTATGAACTCATCCGAGGAGAGGTCTCATCAATTGACTTAGTGACAACTTTGGAGTTCCGATCATCCAAATAACACTGATACATATACGAAACGAATCCCCATATCGCCAAAGCCATAGAAACCCCTTTCACCCCGCTCATCCTGTCACGAAAACAGAACACCGCCGCAACCGGCACAATCGGCAGCCCCACAACACTAATCGAATTCGAGAACAGAGCAGACACCTCAAATATCAAGCCCATAGCTCCCAGAGCATACATCTGCCAGAACACAGCAACCCAAATCAACGTCATCAAATACGATGCCGTTCCCAGTTCATAGCCATCCATCTCCCTGCCCAGCTCCTTCCACTCCCCGCTAGCAAAAAGTCCCACAACAGTAACACCGCAGGCAACCACGTTCTCGTAGATTACCATGTCCATCATATGCTTAAAAGTTTGCCGCTTGATAACCTTAACGAACACAAACTGCGTGGCGGACAACAGCAGGCCGAACAGAGCCGATCCTGCCAATGTACAGAGGAATCCGACAACGTAGTTTCCCCTGTTCGGAGCCGATGAGGAAGCAGATTCCTCGTTGTCGTCGTCGTTGTTAAATACGAGCAGGACGGAGGAAATCGTGAGCAAGACGAGGGAATTGACGATGAAAGGGGTGAATTTCTGGCCGTTGATGAAGTAGGAGAAGAAGGAGTTGAATGCTAGTACGGAAGCGCAGAGGAGCGTGTAAGTGGAGACGGGGAGGTACTGAAGCCCCACGGAGAAGAGGAAGGTGCAGATTCCGACGAGCAGGCCGCGGGATGCGTAGATTGCGCCGAGCGTGTAGGGAGACGGAAGTGGTTGATTGTTGCCGCCGCCAGCGGCGGTTGTTGTTGTTGTTGTTGTGAGGAGGTAGAATGGGATGAGAATTGGGAAGCCGATGACTTGGACGACTGATGACAGCCATTTGCTGTTGCCTCCCTTGAGGAAGTAGAGCCTGCCGAGGAGAAGCGCGGCGGATTGGCCCAACAGGACGCTTAACGTGTAGAGTGCGATTTTGAGCCACCGCCAGTAAACCTTCCGGCTGCTCTGCTTTATCATCGTCACGCTGTTAATTCCGGCAGGCGACTCTTCATCATCACCTGCGGGTATAAGTATATATATATTAGACCATGGTAACAAACCGTTTCTCGGTATCTGTAGTCTTAGTTAAGGACTTACCCAAAACTTTAACTTGGATCTCCGGTGGCTGTTCCATATCTCTTGGAACGTCGTGTCGCCGCGATGAGAACTTGCGAAACAATAATTATTTTGTTATTATGTTTGGTTTTTGAGAATCCAAGGTTGTTTGATTTTGGCAAGTCTTTATACAAATTGGTAGCCGTAACTTGTTAATAGACGATCAGTTTCTGGGAGGCTGTGGAGATGGGGCCCTTCAGTTGACGTGGACTTGATATGTACTTTGGGGTTAATGAGCATAACGAATAAATAAATAAATAATCACTAAGTTGGATGGTAAATTTTTTCTCAAGAGAAAATATTGTTCACTTCGAATCTAGTGTTTTGTGAATTTTTTCTTGGGTGCATATAAATTAAAGGTGATTTTTCATAAGTTCAGTCATTATTGTAGTATTTCACAGTAAACACGTTTAACTTCAGAATTCTTATAAGAACTCTTTAATTTCTTTTAAAAGAGTGTCATGTCAGTTAAATCTGATTTCTTATTTATGAATTATAGATCCTTTTATTATTTTTCCAATATGATTTGTCTAAAATGTTACTAATTGACGGTATTTCAGTTTTCTAGTTAATGAAGTCTGTTACGAGTTTATTAGAGCAAAGTGTATTTAAGATCGGAAATTCTTTTCATTTTCACATCAAGAATTATACGACAAGTTTAAAGCCTTTTAATTTTAAGGTATTATCCTTTAGATGATACTTAGGTGCACTTGTCTCTGCCTCTCTAGCCTAGATTCGGTGGGAACGGTTTCCTTGTCTTCTTGTCTATGCATATGGTATTCTTAGCTTATCTTCGTTTACAATTACAACAACACAAAACGGTTTCCTTATATTTGTCATGGTATGCTCCGTAGTGAAGTGGAGAGGAGTATAACATCGGCGTCACCAAGCATATGATGCTAATTGCTAAGGCCAAGAGGTTGCATTTCTTTTTCTTTGTAAACCGGGTATATGACTAGGTTATCGTATGATACCGATAACTTTTTTTCCAAAGATAAACAATTAAGAGGAATTGAGAAATCGTGGCAATCAATAAATAGTCGAATTGAAGTAGAAAACAATTATCAGAAGTCTTGCAGAAGGGCTTCACTCATATTATAAGACGTCTCACCCATCAACACTTATCGAACCCCAATTGCGATTACCATAAAATTTGATAACAAAAATAATGTGCTAACAATATACCATATCCAGGGGCGGAGGGCGGAGGGTGTTCGGGAGATAAAATTATCTATTAGATATAATAATTAATCAGGTATGAAAAATAATATGTATTTAAATGAGAATGGTTGACCTTTGAAATATTTTATGTATGATTTATACGTTGTGTTTTGGCATACTCAATATGTTATAACGAGCTACACAAAAATGACAATGGTGCATATGATCCGCCCAAAATTAAAGATGTACTTATTCAATATCTACAAAAAAAATTCCACCATATCATAGTTAGTTTGTAAAAATAATTTTATTTCAATCGAGGATAGGGAGAGTGTAACGGGTGGCTACAAATGACGAAAATGAATAAATTAGTATAATAGTTAATCAAGAATGAAATTTAGAGTACTTCTAATTGATAATGGTTGATCGAGAGATCACGTGTTCCGAATCTTGGCGCCCAAATTGCTAAGCACATGATATTCAGATTTGCAAAAAAAATTAAGCACTTATAAGTTGGTTTTGGTTAGCAGGGAAGTGTTAGTAAATACTAAATACTATAAGATCCATTATTAAATCTAACCCAACAAAATCTCTGGATCTCTTCAAAGTGAAATTATTTGAATTATTTGACTATACAAAAGAACCAAAAAAATTCTAAAGTAAAATTATTAGGGATATTTTAGACATGTGTGTCGTCCAAACCAAAGTTCGGCGTTGATTAATTGTTTTTGGATGAAAATTTTAACAAAAGTGCATGTTTGATAATTTTTACAAAGTACAGGAGCATGTTTGATGTAAAAACTAGTAAAGGGGCATGTTTGATAAAACATCATAGTAGAGGAGCATATTATCACTATAACCCTTTTCTAAATAGACCCACTCTCGACGAAATCCTGATCATATCATATCTTCTCACACTACTTGTAACTCTACATATATGGTCAACTATATGCTCATAGAACTTGCCAAAACAAAATTATAATACATGCAGCATCAAAACCGATGAAACTTGCATCGTCAACCTGCCACCAATCACCATGACCGTCAGTCACAAATTCATCAAACCAAACGATAAATATGTATCGGGTGTAATTTTAGTTTGAGAATTAGGTTGACATATCACTTAAGTTTGAATAGAGCGTCGAGTACCACTGAACTTTATTATATGTGTACTCGGTATCACTTAAGTTTACTGTTAAGTGCGTTCCGTTAAAGTTGACAGAATCTTTTTGAAATATTCCGTTTTTTTAAATTTCATAATTGGTCCTTCTACTTTTCTTATTGTAAAAAAATCATTTGGGCTTATGAAAAATATCATTTATTATTCTTTAGTTAGAATCTTTTTTTTTCGTTGAATTTAGAATCTTTTTTTGAATACTTGATACCAAACCAATTTTTGAATAGAAATTTTAGAATTAATTATCATTATAATTATTTTCAATTATCATTATGTGTTCTAATAATTGAATTATTCCATGAATGTTGTAGCTTTTATAGTCATATTTTCTTTTCTACATTTTTTACCGAATGTTGTAGCTTTTATATTTTTTGTATTACTTGGTTACTTTTCATCTCTTTTTGTTCTAATTTTTTTCAATTAGTGAAATATTTTTAATTCTTTCTAATTGTGTTTCATTTATCCATTTTTTATTTTGATGTATTGATGATCGATTAGGTTCTATTTTAACTATTTGTTTTGGTGAAACTATTTTAACTATTTCTAATAGTGCTTCTAATAGAATTAGGGAGTTTAAATAGATATTCTAATATTTATTATTATATTCTAGCATATTTATTCTTCTTCTTGATATTATTTTAGTGTTTTTACTAATTTATCTATTTTATTGAAAATTTTGATTAGTCATTCTAGTAATAATATGTTTAGAAGGTTTTCTATTTATTATATTAGATAAAACTTGTTGAAATATTGTTTTGGATAATTTTAAAAGTTTTGGGTATCAAAAAGTAATTAAAATTTTGGGTTGGATGGAAAAGTAGGCGGATGCACATTTTAGCAACTTTAATGGTACCTGACGCCATATTCAAACATTAGTAGTATGACCCCAATTCTCAAACTTAAGTGACACCCGAGATATTTTACCCTCAAACCAAACCACTAATTATAGCATGCCACCTAACTCGCCATAATGCAAGAATCAACCAATTGAAAGTTGCAACATATCCACCACAAATTCATTAATTATGCATCAATATTCCACCCATCGTGTTGTGTACTGGAAGAAGAACCCAGCAAGGCCCCAAGATCGAGCCTAATGGGCCATCCATCGAAGATTTTTGTATGCAATCCATTAAAGATATTTTTTTTTAACATGGACACGAAGTAGATCAAAGAGTCACATAGTCAGAGTACAGAACATAACACCGTGCAGAAGTCGACCAATAGTTGAAATTCCGATGAAAGAGCTTTTTTTTGCCACAAAATGGGTTGCCTTGTTTAAGCTACGATTAGCGTACGAGCAAGAGCAGAAGTCAAATGGCCTGCAATAGTCTGTGAACATCTTCTAGCAGAGCTCCTCCCATCGCGTGCTTCCGATCCCCAGACAGAACTCGGAGAACCACCAATTGGGAATCCCCAAAGAATTTGACAGACAAGAACCCCGAGTTAGACACCAGTTCATAGCATCACGGAGTGCTAAGAGTTTAGCGAGGAAAGGGTCTTGGATCCCATCATAAAACTTACCAAGTGCAAAGTGAAGAGCGCCAAGAGAGTCGAATCCGACGAAGCCAATGCTGACTCCACGATCTCTTTTGACATCTCCGTCAAACCGCACCAGAAAGGCGTGGGAAGCAGCAACTAGCGTATTCATTATGCGCGATACTATTATACCTGACAAGTCTCTGTTGGGCCTGCGCGGGGGTGCTGGGTCTGAAGATTAGGAAGATACTGGAGCCGTACTTGTGTCGGCATTGGCTTCTAGCCACTCATCCACTAGGAATCAGAATTTTCGGAGAAGAGCTGAAGGTAGATATTGTATGCTGCCATGGACTGTCCAGCATCACCCTTTCCATACTCTCCAAGAAAGAAAGACCACATCCGATATCTGCAACTTAGAAAGGTGGAGCGAGAAGAACGGGTTCTTCCACGAATCATCCATTTGCAAGTTTTCCAAGCTGTTACGGACATCTGCAAAACCAGCAAGAATCCATAAAGGGCGAGCCACCCCGCAATGGAAAAAGCAATGTTTAAATGTCTCCGGGTCTTCTGAGCAGACAGGGCAAGTGGCCGAAGTCACCAAAGTCTTCTGCAGTAGGACTGTTTGCAAAGGAAGAAACTTTCTGACCACACTCCATAAGAAAATTTTGAGCTTTGGCGGCACCGGAAGATTTCACAGCAACTTCCAAAACTGTGTAATATCCTGTGGGAGAATAGTGCCATATGAGACGGTCATATGTCAAATTAATGGATAGCGGAATGCTCAAAATTGCTTGGATGGACTCATTAGTGAAGTAGGAGAGAAGAACTTCACGCTTCCAAGTGCAGGTTTCACTACAGATCAAATCTGCCACCTTTTGGGGGAAAGAGATGATCCCAGACAGTAAGCATGGCGATGACAGAGGATTCGTGCGAAGCCATACATCCTCAACGACGCGTACAGATTCCCCCGAGCCAATTTTCCACCTAAGACCACGTTTCAACAAGTCTCGTCCTTCCAAGACACCTTGCCATGCCCATGTGGGCCGAAAATCTGCTTGGGCATCTAGGAAGTGTTGATGAGGATGATATCTCGCTTTATAAATCTCTCCCAAGCATCCCTCTGGAGTGAGCATGACTCGCCAGGCCTGCTTAGCAAGCAGAGCAACATTAAACCTATCAAAGTCACGAAAACCCAGGCCCCTGCGAATTTACTTTTGCAAGCAGCCAACCAAGATAGCTATCTAATGTCATTTTCCTTGTCTTGCCCCGCCCACCAGAACTTGGATAGAAGGTTGTTGTAGCACCGACATGTCGAGGATGGTAACTGAAATGCTGACATGGCATACACCGGACGAGCTGCACCAACTGCCTTGATAACTATCTCCTTACGAGCCAAGGATAGAGACTTTGCTTTCCAACTCCGGATATGCGCTGCCAAGGCTTCTTCCACAAATTGAAAAGTCAAAATTTTAGACATGTGGACTTACAACGGGAGCCCCAAATACTTGTCTCCAATGCCCATCTGTCCGACTCCCAGGAAGGATGTGAGGGTAGCAAATTCTTCAGCTGTCACATTAGCACGTACACACATTGAGGACTTGTGGAGATTCACTTTTTGCCCATTTATTGCCTCGTATTCATGGAAGACATGGAGGGAGTTAGCATATTCCGGGAGGGAAGCCCGAATAAAGTAAACAAATATGTATCATCATCGAAAAGAAGATGTGAGGTCATGGGTGATCGCTCTGCACTCGAAGACCATGGAGAGATGAGACAGCAATCTCATAAAGCAGTTTGGCAGAGAAAGCTTCAGTATATAATGCAAAAAGGAGAGGGGAGAGGGGGTCACCTTGGCGGATGTCTCGTTGTGGTTGGAAGTACTCGTACTCCACCCCATTCATGGGATTGAGAATCGAACCGTGGAGATGCAGGACTGAATCCAACGGGTCCAAGTGGGAGAAAACCCCATGTCTGCCAAAACCTGGAGAAGAAACTGTCATTCAACCCGATCGTAAGCCTTCTCCATATCGAGCTTCAACGCCATCCACTTTTGTTTTTAAGAACTGCATGATTTCTTGGGCAATCAAACTGTTATAAGATATGGATCGAACCTTAACAAAGCCATTCTGGAAAGTATTAACGATATTAGTAAGAATTAAGCTCAGTCTAGCAGCCAATACTTTAGCAATGATTTTGTACAGAACCTGACATAAACTGATGGGTCGCATTTGCCTCATGGAATTTGCATTTTCCACCTTAAGAATGAGGGCAATCCAAGTATGGTCGATGTTGTGGAGGAGTCGTCCCGTACTGAAAAAGGACATGACAACTGCACAAACATCCTTCTCCAACTCAGGCCAGAATCGATGATAGAACGTCCTGTAAAGTCGTCAGAGCCTGGTGCCTGAGATTTCCCAATTGAAACACCGCTCTACGAATCTCATCACATGATACTAGAGCAGTAAGAGCAGCATTCGCATCCTCATCTACCAGCCGAGGGAACTGAAGACTGGCTACATATTCTGCTGGATCAATTCCTGTAGTCGTGAAGAGAATTTTATAGTAGTCTACTTCAATTGCACCCTTTGCATCCTCATCCTAGTGAAGGGTACCATGTTCATCTTGTAGGGAGAGAATATAGTTGAATCGCCTCTGGTGGAGCAAAGACAAATGAAAAAATCGGGAGTTAGCATCTCCAGTTTTCAGCCACCTAACCCGGGTCTTTTGTTTCCAGTAGAGCTCTTCATGTTTGTATGCCTCTCCTAGTTGGATTTCCAGCCCTTTAATTTCTTCCCAATCCACATAAGGCTCCTCCTTTCCTGATTCAATATGTAGTTTGAGAGTAGTAATCCTCCGGGCTGAGTTGGAAGTGCCCTTCCGAGCCCAATCTACCAGCCCATGTCGGACATTCTTGAGCATCAATTGAAGTTTGAATTGTGTTGTGCCATGAACCACCTGTTGCCAAGAAGAACGAAAAATTCCAGACACTTCTGAATTAGAATCCCATCTCATATCATACCTGAAGCGGCGTCGAGGACCGGAAGGAGGCTTGAGAAAATTCACCATGAGGATTCTATGATCTGATCCTATGTTCGACAGATTCCTCACTTGAAGACCAGGCCACAAAGAGATCACTTGAGAGGTGGCAAGACATCTGTCTATCCTTTCTACAATATGACGATTCCCAGACTAACGATTCAACCACGTAAATGGGGTTCCAATGCAACCTAAGTCAATGTTATTAGTAAATAGAAAGAAATCTCCTAGCTTATCATAAGCAGTAGGGGTAAGAGAGCGCCCCCCCCCCCTACTTCTCTGTTGAGGACAACAAGCAATTAAAGTCGCCTATAATGAAAGTAGGATTAAAACAAGACAAAACAAAAGTGGAAATTTCATTAAGCTCAGCTTGCCTGGCATGTACATCGCAATTCGCAACTGAGGTGCACAAACACTACGACAAATTTACCTAGAGACGGATGGAGGCATTCAACAATGAGAAACGCATAAGAAGAATGTAAAATGTACAAGACACTAGATTCGACCAGCCTACTGCTAGTCCACCACCTCTATTTACACCATGGAACGCACGACAATTAGAGAAACCCAGGTTACGGATATGGCCTTCAACGAAGTCGTCGTCTCTCCTCGTTTCACTGAGAAATGCCAGGAAGGGAAGATGACATCGAATAGCTTCCCGGATAGATGGAATCGTCAGGAGGGAGCCCAAACGCCGACAATTCCAGGCCATGATGCTCATTTAAAGGATTGGAACCGATCTAGGTCGGTTTCCTCCACCATTGGGCTTCCCTCACCAGATATGAGGGAAGCTTGTTGTCCAATACAAACCCTTTTGGCCGCTGGCTCCAACTGGCCTAAGACTTCTCCTTCCTCTATTGAATCAGTAGCAGAAGGGAGTCTAGCATTCTGGGCAGGAGCTGAGGATGAATCAGCCTCCTTTCCCTTCCTCCCCTCAATAGACAAGAGTTGCAGCTTGGTGTTAAGAACTAGGGTCCCTAAGTTATGTGACGATGACCCCCCAGAGAGCTTTCTCGCTCGCACTCATTCCAGCAGGGCGGAGCCATTGAAACTTGATTTTGCGAGCCAAGGTTTGCTCATTAACGCGAGGGCCTCTGTCCCGGCTAATGGTGTGCTTGCCATAGCGCGGCGGTTGGTCGCCGAGCTCCTCCTTCCTAGGACAACGGTGGCTTGAATTTCCAAGAAAACCACACAAGTAGCAAAATTGGGGTAAGCGTTCAAATTTACAGATACTTTGAATTCACCCTTACAGGACTCTTCATGCTTCGCGGGGACTTCATATGGCAGGGGATTGGAAACATCGATGTGAACCATAAATCGCACATAAAGCCCGCCAGAGGACTCTGATTGGCGAATGTCCGCCGGATCCGAAGCACCAAGAGATGACCCCAACAGCGAGCCTAGGCACTCCGTGCAGTAGTTGTATGGTATGCCCCAAAATTGGATCATCAAAGGCACACAAAAGAGGGAGTCACCCAACACAGGGGAAAGTGTCTCTCATGGAATCAGATGGACCAAGTACTTGGGAAGGAACCAGGGTGAACCTTTGAGCACCTTGTTGAGGTCCTTTGTCACCGAGAACACCACTTGCACGAGGCCCCAATCAACAATCACTATGGAGACAGCATCCGGGCATTTCCACAATCGTAGCAAACCAGTTTTGAGAGCGTGCAAGGCTGGTCGCGAGCCGCAAACTCTACCCACGAGTGATAGCACCCCGTGGGACGCTCCTACTTGCACATCTTTGTCGGAGAACCGGACCACCGCCATCGCAGTTGAAATTGGGAGGAAATCGAAGATGAACAATGATGATTGAACACTCGTTGAACCAGTTATGGCCAAGGGAACCCCAAATTCCCCGAACAGCCAACACTTATTTAAAGGCTCCATAGAGGAGAGGGTCGTTTTCGGCCCCGCACGATGGCGGAGACCAGTATCGGCAAAGCACACGATGCGCATAAATCGCCCCACTCGTGAAGAGAAAGGGGAGAGAGCGTCTTTTTTTTTTTTTTTTGCCCGGCCCACCATTTATCTTCCTATTCCATTAAAGAATTCATTTCAATTGGAAAGTTAAATTTGAAGTGCAAGTAAAAGACTTCATAGTCACAATCCACAAATTTTGAGGGTTAATACTTTGTTTTGGCCTCCGGTAACTATTTTGGATCCATTTAGCCTGATTTATTGATTGACGGTCAAGCTGGAAGGTTAATATGTCACGTCAATTTGATGAATCAATAAAAAAATACAACAACTTAAATAAAAATTCAAAGATAAAATCTTATAAAACAAAACCGCGCTTGAGACCTATCACTAGGGATGCTAGTGGGTAACTGGGTACCAAAATAGCGGGTATTTAGGGGTGGATGATCAGTTTTCGGTTAGCGGTTAACCGAACGATTTAACCGATAACTGACCGGTTAGTAGCTAACCAAAATCGACAGTTATTTATCTCGGTCGGTGGTCGGTAGAAGAGAGGTAATTTTTCGGTCAGCCGAGTAACCAAGGATAATTAACCGCGTTTAACCGAGTAACCGAAAACAACCGACCAGCCACCCATTTAATAAAACAACGTCGTTTCCAATCACCAAAAACGACTAACCCCCATTCCTCCCCCCAACCCTAATTCTTTATTTTCCACCATCCAAACCCTTCACCCCCAAATCGAAAAAACCTAATTTGACGACCCTTCCCTCCCCCCAGCTCCCCGATTCCACGCCTTGCCTCCGACTCCACCCAATTCGCATGCGCAGCTCCTCCGCCTCCGTCTTCATCGACTAGTAGAGCAGACGAGCCTCCGCATCCGCCCAACTCACGTCCCCTACTCACGCTGCGCCTCCTCCTTTGACTCCGTCGTCGTCGAGTATCAGAGAAGGCCAGCATGATTTTTTCGGACACTCGACTATCCGCGGTTACAATCGACCGATCGGTTTTGCGGTGAACCGAGGCTAACAGTCGGTCGGTGTTCGGTAGCCACTTTGGTGAGTTTGGCTAACCGAAAATTGATATTTCGATTATCGGTTAGACCGAAACCGACTGAAATCCACCCTACGGGTATTACCCATGCCCGCCCAGCCAAATCCGTTGTGAAACCCGCAAGAATCGGATATGAGTTGGGTTCGGGAAAACCCAGTATAAGAATAGTAGCGGGTTCGGGTCGGGGATAGGTATCAATCTGCCTTACATATATAATATATGTCCATTATAGGAGGAAAGAAGTATTACACTAATTTAAGAATTAAGTTAACATTTACCATAATTTAATAAATCATTCAACCATCTCACAAAAGATATCATATTTTTTTTTAATTCAAATTAAAAATTACAGTTTCTTAGTGGACAACCAAGTTGGAATAAGAACTAAGAAGAGAAAGCATATATAAAATTAATAATTATAGCTTGATGGTCTTAGTTTGTGTTAAAGTATTTTTTAATTTTTTTTTTTATAGTGAACCCGTGGACCGGTTAAATCATGGTGGTTCATATGACATTACGTTGAACTGTGAAAAACCATTTGGTGAATCAATAACCGGTTAATCAATGAACCGAATCGCTATCATAACTGGTTTAACGGTTCTACTAGCCCGGTCGTTGATCTAGTTGGGTTCTTATCAAAGAGAAAGATTCTCTAACTATGCAAGTAGATGAGTGGTCTCATAATTAAAGGTAAAGTAGTGATAACTGATAAGTAATATTGTAATAATGCTGTTTGTGGGACTTTCAACAATGCATACGGGTGTGACAGACTGGCAGTGGCCTAAGTGGGGTATTAACATTGACTAAAATTATATTTATGTTTCTCTCTGTTTTCCATGGTGAGGAGTGCTCTCGACAAAAGTGGTCGGTCGGAGACACTCCGTCGGTGACTGGTCCGACTCTGGCGGGTCGGCCACCTGACCCTACTCCTCATATCCCTCAAACAGATGCAACACAAAATGCAACGTCACAGGCGATGAATTTCAAAGCAGCACTAGCCGGAGCTCCACCAGCAAACCCTTCAAAGAAGCTCCCTCTCCCAGACTCCCCTCATGCGACTCTAATCGCTTCTCTCATCTTCAATCGACCTTGTGGAGGCAGAACGAGAGCTAGAGGCGGGTCGATTTAGACGAGTCAGTCGCCATCTCCGCCATTGTCGATTATAATCTGTCTGTGGTTACCGCCAGGTACTGAAATCCCTAGCGGATTATTCGATTTGACCGGATTTGAAGCCTTTTCCACCGACTGCCGCAGAGGACGAGAAGGCAACAGTTCTAGTGGAGGATTTGTTCTTGTTGGACATCATTGATAGCTCCGTCGTACAGTGGATTGAATCTACCTCTGTAGTCTTTTCATAATATAAATATTAATTAATTATTATATAATAAATATAATTAAAATTAATTATATCCAAATAATTCTTTTATAGATAAAAAAAATAACCGACGAATATAATCATTGTTTTCATAAACAACCATGATGGGATTTCATATTGTCAAAGAAACGCAAAAACATTTGTTGTCTACACTTTTAAGTAAGCCTCTTTCAAGGGTAAATTGCACGGTTGGTCACTAAGATTATTGAAAATGTTCATGTTTGGTCACTGGAAATATTTAATTCTATCAGTGGTCACTGAGATTACTTAAACCGTTCAACTTTGGTCACTCTCCGTTAACTTTCGTTAGTCTCCGTTAACAGCGTCAGTTTTTTGCTGATGTGGCTAACAGAAAAGCCTAATCAGCCTATTTTGACCCGCCACGTCATTGAAACAAACCACATAAGATAATCCACCCAACCCATAACCCAACCCTTCTTGACCAACCCAGCCTAAGAAAATATCTACCTCTTCTCTCTCCACCCCTCCTCTGGTTGTCATAGTCCTTCCATCCCGGAGCTTAATCGCCAGGCAGATTGTCAAAATTTAGGGTCCCGGAGCTTAATCGCCACACTTCCCTAGTCGTCTTCCCAACCTCTGCCGGTCGCACTTCCCTCATTGGATTCCCAACCTTTACTCCTCCCCCCTTTCATCTTTTCTTCTTCTCTTCCAATCATGTGACAAAAAATTGCAGAACCAATTCCTTCCAACCCACACATCCTCCATCGGCCGAAATCCTTCCTTAACGCCCTCCAAAATGAAAGTCGTGTGTTCTCGCTCGTATTCCACGCTTTACAGCGCCTGTCGTAACGCAATCGAAGGGGTCGGGAGGACCACATCTGCTGGAACCCCACTCCGAGCCTGGCGGTCGGTCGTTTCCTTTGCCCTCACCTTATCGTCCCTCACGTACATCCTCATCGATGCGTTCACTACAGAAGACGAGGACCTGTTGTTGGCGCCGGTGGCGTTCGCATCCGGCTATCTCCCCACGAATCGGAGATCCATTGCTTCTTTTGATTCTGCAGTTGCTACTAAGATTTGTTGCTTGGGTCTGATATAGAATTCCTTGATTTTTAGAAATCGATAGACATAGAGAGTGGTTTATATAGGGATGAGAACAAGCTGTTAGGGAATTCTTTGGGAATTTGTCGATTGGAAGTTGAAAGGACCCTTCTTGGAAAGCTTTGCAAACCTTCAAATAGAGGGAGTCATATTGGAGTTGGGAGTATGAAGATGTTGGAATTGAGGGAGAAGCAGAAGGCAAGTGCGGAGGAGAAGGATGACAGAGGTAGAAGGGGATCTGAGAATTTGGGAATTAAGGTTTTTTCAATAGGAAGAAGATTATGGGTTAGTTGGGTTTGAGTATCTTATGTGGCGGGTTTAACGACGTGGTGGGTCGGTTTTGAGTTTTTTTAATTTAGAATTGGGTAACTGGATAATTCTGTTAGCCACGTCAGCGAAAAACTGACACCTTTAAAGGAGACTAACGAAAGTTAACGGAGAGTGACCAAACTTGAACGATTTAAGTAATCTCAATGACCATTAATGGAATTAAATATTTACAGTGACCAAATGTGAACGTTTTTAGAAATCTTAGTGACCAACCTTGCAATTTACCCCCTCTTTCAATGTATCTCACTATACAATCATTATAAAATTGATAGCCAATTCGACTTGAAAACTTGTTCTTACTATAATTCAAAACTGAAAATACTCTTTCTACACTTGCAGTTGTAACTGGTAGAATCAAAACTAGTGTAATTGCGTTGTCGCTGGACAATTTCAGGGATGTTGTAGGCAAAAATCAAATAGTGATAAGGAGAAAAGATATCCGATTCGATCTTTATTCCAATTGGAATTTCTTTTATAGTAATAATAAATTAATTTTATGTCAATTTATGAACAAGTAATGAGTTGTGTTGCAGTGACAAAATACTCTAATACCATCTATAGGTTGTGTTCAATCACCAATATAAATATATATGGGGTATTTTTTTTTCTTCCGAAATTTACCATTGTCCTGTGACAAGGCCCCAAGGGCCTGCCTCCGCCTATGAAGTCATAGACCATCCTGTGTGACGGGTAAAACCCGACCAAAGCCAGGGAATGCCGAAACCCGAATGGATACAGGGATGGGTAGCCATTCACTATCCATAGTTCATTTCAGACAGGGACGAGTAAAACCTGATTTTTTCTCTAAATACAGTAAAAATTTAAAAAAAATCATACAATACACAACTTTTATTAAAATTTCCCAAAATACCAAAAATTGTCGCAGATTGAGTCCAATAAACTCGAACTACAACCTAGTTTGAGTGCCAAATAATCGATCCACGTGCATCGACTGGAACGACCACGATTGGCTGAAACCCGAATACGCGGATCGAGTGTAAACAACTCGATCAACATAAATGGAGGATATAGGACTCGATCCAGTTGATGCGGATCGATGACCTGGAACGCGCCTCACCATTGATCGAATGAGTGAAACTCGATGCTGGTCGTTCGATTTCTTCGGCCGCAAACATGGAATGACGCGGATCAAGTGCATTAAACTCGACGCAAGTGGTTCGACTTCTTGGTACTCGATCCAGTTGACACAAATCGATGACATGGGACGCGATCTACCATTGATCGAGTGTCTAAAACTCGATATGGCCCGTTCGATTTGCCATTCCGCGAACAGTTGTTTGACATGGATCGATGACACATAACTCGATCCACTAGTTCGACTTTTCTAAACTCGATCCACTACCACCCACGGAACCTATAAATACCCACCCCCCGCATCATATTTTTTTTGTTTAGTTTGGTACCTCTATCTCTCAAAATTGTCGAGATGGACCCGAGTATTTACAATCCTAGATTATACATTCTCGACGGACCGCGAGAAACCGATTTGTTTAATGATCAACTTTACCATCGGTCTGAAAGTGTTTGAAACCCGGTAAGAATTTCCTCATGTACCTCTTTTCTTTCAATGCAATATTATTCTTTTAATTTTTTGTATAATAATTAAGGGTTTTTTGACGTAATCACCCATCGTTCGCTGTCTCGCTTGCCTCGATGGGATGTTCGGATCAGTCCCTTCATTGAAAGAGATGGATTGCTGAGGGTGCGAAACTTTGTAGGGATGGAGAGATGACGACTACGTTGAAGGACGTGTCCATGCTGACAGTGCTTCCAATCAATGGTGATGCCATAATACAGAGTTCACAAAAATCATTGAATGGTTGGGGCCAATTCATAAGACAGCATTTAGGCATCAACATCCCCGAGGAAGCAGCCAAAGGTCGTCGTGTAGCACCGCTACACAAGTCTATGCTATCGATCCCTTGGCTAGTGAGGACATTTGGTATGTTTCCGGAGGATGCCACGGATGATCAGACATATAGGTATGCTCACATCTGCCTGATTTGTTTGGTTGGAGAATTTTTGTTTCTGAACAAGTCTGGTGGAAATATGTATTGTATGTGGCTCCGAGTTCTTTTGGGAGATTGGGAGAAAATTTTGGGGATCGGCTTGTTTGGCGATGATATACTCGGGGTTGTGCAAGTGTACGAAGAAAAAAAAACAAGTAGGTGGTGCCATGTTCATCCTCCAACTATGGGTTTGGGAGCACCTTCCTACTTTCGCTCTGATCTGCCCTGCCGACAATTGGGGTCCCCGAAGAGCCACTACGACAAGCGGCTTATCCAGTGGCGGATCCAGGGGGTGGCCACCTCGGGTCACGGCCCAACCCTCCTCTGAATCCGGAATTAGTATAGTCTTTATGCGTTTATCGATTTTAGCCTTTCGGCTCAGTGTTATTTTATAATAAAATTGTGTGTAATTAGGAAAATGAGTAAGATGAACATATTCAAATCATAACTCTAAATTTAGTCTAGAAATTCTAGCTCAAATGAGTCTCATCTAAAGAAAAACAAACAATGAAACCTAAAAGTCTAAAAGTCTAAAACGTAAAAGGCTAAAAGAAATATGAGATTTGTTCCCTTGAAAAATCACTAGAGCAGGTGGTGGAAATAGGGATGGATACACAATACAAATTGATTAGTCGATTAATTTGTCTAGTGTTGACATTGTTCATTTCAACAGCTACTATGGAGAGAACCTTTTCAACAATGGAACAGGTGAAAAATGATTTGCGTAACAAAATGAGCGATGAATTTCTCGCCGTTTGTTTAGCTATTTTATTTGAAAAGAGTAGTATGCGATTAGTATGGATATAGACTCCTTTATTGATGAATTCACTATATTAAAAGATCGACGTGTACATTGATATTCTAAAAAAAATTATGATTTTTTGCGGTATCTAGTTTTCTAATGTAATGCTGCCCAGTGTTCTACTATGTCCTGGATCTGCCGCTGTGGTGCTCGATGAGTTGGAGCTATCACGAGATTCTTCTCCCTAGCCGGGTACTGCCAACATCTTGATAGTATAGAGTTCAACGAGGTAACGTTCTAGTTTATTAACTCCTAATTATTTGTATGATTATGAATAGCATTTTATTGGTTGAAATTATTTGTCTTAGCCAATAATTTATTTTTTTGAATATGAATGCTATTTATTTTGTTGAAATTATTTGTCTTGGCCATTAATTTATTTTTATGAATATGAGTGCTATTGTATATGTTGAAATTATATGTATGGACCTTAATTTATTTGTTGAAACTTAGGTGGAGTGGGATCTATATCCGAACGGAGCCAAGGAGATGTACGAGTTGCGGTACATTGAGGATCGTCGACTCTGGTCGTACAAGTTGCGTGTGATTTTCCACAACATCGTCGAGTGGCACCTCCCGAACAGATGTGTCTTGCAATATAATTAGGCGCAGCCGATTCCTATTACACCTCCGGACGTACATAAGTCACTCCACAAATACAGCAAGGATCTGCGAGATACAGTTAGTGATTGGCCAACCAAGCACCATAGATGTATTGGTATGTGGGAGTCTCGTCATACGTATGCAATTGATGGCATCCCAATGACAAGGCCAATGGGGTACTAAGATGAACACATGATCTGGTACCGCAAGTTCACAAAAAGATGAGTAACCAAACGTGGTGTCGTGATCAGTTCGTTGGTAAGCACAACATCTATTTTCGCTTATTTACTTTAGTTACATAAAGATTATTTGACTAAAGTGTTGTTTAACTAGGTTGATGGGTTGGAACTTGCGTTAATAGGGTTAGTAAATGAGTAGAAGCATTCGACCAAGCGAGTTAATGAAACATCTTATTTGTTCTTACCAGCATGCCAAACAACAAGTTGTCCAAAAGTTAGACCAAAGTGCTTCCTGTAATTACTTTTGAAATGTCATATGCACCAACACCACTTTCACACTAACTTCTCGTGCAAGTCGTACATTACGTGTGCAATTCCATGGTCTCGATCGGAAAGTATGGCAATGTCCTTCCGTTGAGTGGCACGAGTTTATAGTTGGGGAAAAACCATGCCCAACTTAAGTTGTTCTCCGATTCAACTACGGCAAAAACAAGCGGGAAAAGTTGAATACTACATGCATCCGTCACCATGGTTCTCGCAGCGGACATGAATTTGATTGGCGTCGGAAGTGATGACACGATATTGAAATATCCTTTGCATAGCAGTTTCTTTAAATGCATCGACCACCTGAGGCTTTTCTCCAAATGTTTGACCAACCACGAACCCCGAATCAGGAGTCCAGATGGGTATAGGAGGGAGGTCAGGATCGTCGTTGTGAGCATAGAGAGGATGTTGTGGCACCATCGTGTAGTGAGGTGTGGGGGGCTCAAATTCCCCCTCATCAACTTCCACATCTTCACCATCTGAACTACTCACTGATTCTAAATCTTCATCTTCCACGTCGTTTGCCACGCTAGTGTACGGAAGACTTGATTTATCCACATATGGATCATTGTTGATGCCAGATGCTTGTGTGGGTGCCTGTTTGGGTGCCCTTATGTAATCCCATTCTTCACCCCATGCTGGCCACTCTTGTCCATCATGTTCAACCAATGGAGTAGGGGCAGTTCGATCCTTGTATCTTGACCATGGTACATCATCCGGACCTCCAAAATCTCCAGAACCGGAAACTCAACCCTATCATTCACCTTGTTTAGTATAACCCCCACCACCATATTGGCCAACATCTTCAGTTCGACATACACCTCGGCAATTGAAAATCTGTTTTCTGCAATAAATCTCACCATCATATTAATGTCATCATCGTCAGACAGAATTGATCCTTCATATAAAAGTGCATATACTTTGTAAACCGGCATACGGTAAGTCATCTTGCATACTCTTCGCCCCTTGTGCAACATCGTTCCGCGCAAATGTGGTAGAGATCTTGCCAAGTAAATATGCTCTCAACTGGACAGTGCTTGATTTACCATCTTCGTAGTCAATACTATTCAGAAAATATGTAATTCTGCTGTTTATAGAAACAACCCATTACATAGTTGTCCTTGATCGAGTCTTAGAGCCACGATCTACCTAGATCCAGTTTGGTAAACTCGATGCATAGTGGATTGAGTTTTTTGCCAACGGTCAAAACTTGATCGAGTCTTTAAAAGTCGCCAGTACGTGGATCGAGTTTAGTGAACTCGAACTACGCCAAACTTTGGTATTTTGAGAAATATTTATAAAAGTTATGTATTGTAGGAATTCTTTTTAATTTCTATAGTATTTTTGGGAAAACTCCGATAAAACCCGTTTGTAGTTGCGGACAGGGATCGGGGAGCCACTACCCGGCCCCATATCCACTCGTTGTCATGCCTACATCACCTCTATTGCTACTGGTGTCATCTCCAAGTTAACAGAGAGAAAAGTTGTTTGTGCGATAAGGATGCGGAGACCTTCGAGTCACATTGTATTCCCCGGAAAGTGGCGGAGGGAGGTGAGGAGGAGAGGGGTCCTAGGACCCCACTTGGCAAAAAATTGGGCAACAAAATCTATTAAATACGTAGGGTTTAGTACGATCCTTGAAGTTTAAGACTCCTTACTCTCAACGATGTTAGATTACCAGGAACCCTGATCAACTCAAAATTCAGTAGATACACAGACTTAATATTAGTAAATTTTTAGGGATCCCAATGAACTCAAAGTCTGGCTACGCCAGTCCCCGGGTGTAAAGATCGTCTAAATTGGCTAGAGACAATCATCCAAAATACACAGATAGGTCAACCAAATAGAGGGGGAAAATCAGTAGAGATAAATATAACTGAGAGGTTTTCACTTCTCCTATTCACAATTTTGTGAAAATTGAAATAGAAAAGTTAATAATTTTATGTAAATAAACTGACTGTCAACTCAAAGTTACTTATAAATACAATCTTGATGTCCCTAATATATATTTGACCATTACATTGCAATGCCTCTACATGATTACAATACCTCAATAACCTTACAACAATTAAATGAAAACTTGCAACGATTAAATGAAAAATACTACATATGTTACTTTCTCATCACCTTATTCACATCAAATAACGAAACCGTAGAGCAGGAAACATAGAATACATATGCTGCCTCCAACCCGAAGAACTCGACCAATATAGTTCAATACCCTAGCTACTTCCACGCTACACATTTTTCTACACTAACAACCCTTCTCCCAGAGTCTCCTGATCATCTCCCTCGCCGGAGCTCCGGCCACCATCGCTCTCAAACTTGGATCCGGAATCCTCACGGTCGTCAAGGTAATGCTGATACAGATACGAAACAAACCCCCAAACTGCCAAAACCATAGCTATCACCTTCAAACCACCCATCTCGTCCCGAAAACAAACCACCGCAAGAATCGGCACCACCGGCAGCCCAAACGTCCCGATAACGTTCGAAAACAGCGACGACACCTCGAATATCAACCCCACGCACCCTATCGAGAACACCTGCCAACAAACCGCCGTCCACACCAACGTCATCACGTACGAAGCTTTCCCCAATTCAAACCCTTCCATCTCCTTCCCAATTCCCTTCCACTCCCCGCTGCCGAACAGCCCCGCGACCACCGCCGCGCTCGCAACCGCCGGCGGGTACACCAGAACGTCCACCACCACTTTGAACGTCCGCCTCCTCACCACCTTCTCGAAGAAGAACTCGGTCAGGGTCAGCAGCAGCCCGTACCCGACGGATGCGCCGACCGTGGAAAGAAAGCCAATCGCAAAATTGCGCCGCGAGGAACCCGATTGGGCCGATTCGGAGGAGCTAGGGTTTTCGAAGACGAGGAGAATTGACGAGAGAGTGAGGAGGACGAGGGAATTGAGGATGTAGGTGGTGATTTTCTGGGAATTGATGAAGAAGGAGAAGAGGGCATTGAACCCTAATTGGGATGCGGAGATTAAGGAGTAGGTTGACACAGGAAGGTACATCAGTCCCACGGAGTAGAGCAAGCTGAATCCGGCAATCAGAATCCCCATGACGGTGTAAGCGAGGGTCAGGATCGGAAGGGAAACATGGGAGGTGGAATTGCTGTTGCTGTTCGCCGGCGGCGAGTTTTTCTTGGTGAGGATGTAGAGAGGGATGAGGACCGGGAAGCCGCCGCATTCGACGAGGCTCGCCATCCACTTGCTGTTGCCACCCTTCGCGTAGTAGAGTCTTCCGAGCAGCGTCGCCGCCGATTGTCCGGCGATAACGAAGGCGATGTACATGGAGACTCGAATCCACCACATCCGGCGGGTTCTGGGATCCGTGACCATTTCGGCGACGGTGGTGGGTTCCCCTGATTCGAGTCCTGAAACAACATTGTCAATTAACGGGAAGGAAGAGGGAGTTATAGTCTGAAGAGCTGTGAATAGTACTCTTTTCCGGTTCAAGTTTACTTTGTTCTCCGATACATGCAAAGCAGAGAAGGAACGTTTTTCTTGGACTTGGAACTAACGTTACTAATCAAAATGCTAAAAAGCGGCGGTGGTGGTGGGACTGATATCACGAGAGAAATTCTTCTTTTACTCAGAATACGCTAGCACTCTATTTTCAGAGAAAGGTTTTGGATTCACTTACCCATGACACTTAGCTTCAGGCCGGCCGGCTGCTGATCGGCTTCTCCCATATCTCCGATCGATCAAACGCTATTCAAAGGCAGGGGACTTATTGCGATGATTAAGCAAAGAATAGAGTGTAGTTTACATGGGGACGGGATGAAGCTATTTGTAACGGCTGGAGGTGTCCTCTGCCGCATTCAGACAAATTTAGGGTGATGTGATGTGATTCGGCGGGTGACAGCACTGCAGCAATGGGAGTCTGGGATTGAGGAAAGAAAACAAAAAGAGGCACCGGAGAGATGCTTTGCCAAAACCCATTGAAGCAAATTCACGTCCGATTCAGCCAAACTCAGAAAGCAGAGAGCTGGATTTGCTGCAAGTAGCAAATGAGGTGACTCGGGAGAATACCTCTTCTTTTTTTTCTTTTTTTTTTTCCTGTTTTCTCACCAGCAGAGGTGAATCAGTAATGGGTAGGTTAGGTTTCAAATCATCTGAAAGCGCGAGGGACGGATGGAATTATGTACGAGTGGTGTAATGGAGACGAGCTTCAAGCACGGAAGTACGTTTTGATTCGGATTACAAATTCTGCCCAAGGGTCCCAACCTCGATCCTACGCTACCGAAATGGGAATCATGATTCTGTCAGCAAGCAAAACTCCACTTCCTGCTAAAGAGTCCACTGCCCCGCATGGATTTCTGGATATATAGCTGAGAGGAATCAAGAGGCGGGTTTGTCAGAAAATATGAGAAATCCATTTCAGTCGCTTTGGTTCCGCCGTGTGGGCCTCCTCCTAACCACTCTCGCCGCAAGCTGGGAGATGACGACTATAGTAGTATAGCGTGTGATCTTGTCTTCTTCCTCATGATAGGGGTGGGCAAATGGTATGGTCCGATTGTACTGCACCACAATCATGCTAATCCCAGCGCACCGTAAGTTCATTGGATCGCACCATAAATGTTACCACAAATTAATTGATGCGGTCGAATCAAACCACATAAATTAGTGATTTGGCGGGATTTGGTTGTGACTGCCTCATATAAATTGGCCAAACAAACATAAACCAATCAAGCAAGATACGAATAGTCACTATCTGCTGCTGGAAACTGGTAAGAGGAATAGGAAAGAGTGCCATGAGTCCATCTATGAGGGATAAGCTTTGCCTTTTGCCTGTCAGTCTGTCACTAGCAGCGCCCATTGCAACATGAGGAAAGAGGCAAAGGATGAGCCTTCCTCCCGTGTGGTGCTTTTTAGCTTTTACTTCATAGTGATTCACATGTTCAAGTCTGTTCCACGTTTTGGGGCTTTACGGTAATTTGTGGTTTACGATTTAGTGTTACAACCGTGTACTTTCTATCCATTTAAACCACTAATCATTAACCGCATAAAATTCAGATGTCTTGTCAAACATCAAGTTTCGTGGTGTGATTTGGTTGCAACACATGTGAGATTTGACGAGATTTGGACCAGTCCGACCGCATCATTGTTCCCACCTACTTCATAACCTCTTTTTCACAAGTGTTTGTGAAAGTGGTTAAGTTGGTTGAGCTTCATGACCTCCCTCTAACGAGTCCTATCAATTTACTTCCTTTGGCCGCCTTTGTCTTGTTCACTATTAACTATACTGGATTCTACTTCTTCATGGCTCCTTAAGCCTTCTTCCTCTCTCCCAAAATTCCATACTTTAGATGAAATTTGTTTGCTATACATTCAGCATTTGAATTGCGTCCGCCTCCTGGACTGCCTTGACAGGTGATGTGAGCTAAATAAAATTCAATGATTATAAACTTTGCATTCTACCTCAACATCGAGACTCCGTGGCCCAATGGATAAGGCGCTGGTCTACGAAACCAGAGATTCTGGGTTCGATCCCCAGCGGAGTCGATTTTTTTTTTTTTCATTTTTCAACTAATATTTGCAGAAATCCAATTAATAAGAGGCAGGCCGGTGCCGCCCATTTCATTCCACAATCTCCATCGACTTTTTATACTTTGGAGTAGGGAAGAGATATGAAGGAAAAAAAGGAAAGGCTTTAGAAAATGTGTATTGAATTTTGCTGTCTTTACACATGAGTGATGACCTCATAACATCTTTCAGCAGTTCATCATATATGCAAAACAATATGGGGAGCCATCACTTCCCCCCTTCTACAGATTGTTCTAAAGAGGTTCCAGCAGCTTTCAGTTTCTCCAACTTCTTCATAAGATATGCCTGCTTGAAGTTCTTGCGGCGAGCTTCTACCTTCTCTTGCCTCTGCAATTTCATCTCCAACACCTTCTCTCTCGCTTGATTTGCTTCTTCATGAACTTGACTGCATAATACCATAACCAAACCATGGGCCTTCATTAGTACTTCTCTTTCTTGACTATTGAATTAAGCTATCTTCCGAATGATAACCATTTGATGGAAAATTTTATTTTAGAGTGATTTCATCCATTGCAGAAAAATCTGATCATAGAAAATGTTGAACATGTACAAGGAAATCGCAGGGAGAAACCAACCCTTTAAAGTTCTCCTTAGATAGGCTAATCACCTAGGCTGATCTCATGAAGAGATCTAATGTTGAAGACCATAGTATGATCATATTTAGTTGCAGAAACCCATACATAAACTTACCATTTAAAACAAAACAAGAACAACCAGTCCTTTACAGAAAGGAGTTGAACTCCAGACAGCCAGACAACCTTTGCACAATATGGCCAGAAGAGCAAAAATGTATAAAAATCACACATTGTTGATTCGATTCTGCAGCCTAATCTATTTCAAAAGAAGCAAAGTCTACAACTTTGCAAACACCAAGGTCCCTTCTCACGCCTAGATACTCAATTTGCTAACCAGCACCAAGAGCCATTCTCAAGTTAAACCTCAAACGCACATTAACAACAAGAACAGAACCTTCACAAAAGTTATGCTGAAATCGAATTCCATAAGAACAGGTTGTAAGTACCTGACAAAACGCCTGTGTTCATCTTGGTCAAATGCTCCACCTGATTGGCCAGGCTTCACAAATTTCGTACTAAATAGACCAGCTGGACCATCACCGCCATCTTCATCATTCACACTTGCCGCTGCAGCAGCAGCACTGGAAGAAGTTTCAGGGGATTGCGACTTCTGGGACTCCTCTACCTCAATTCCTTTACGGAAAAAATCAACACAGTACTTCTCTTCCGCTTCCTCGTCCGATAACTCTCCTCTTACTAGCTTCTCGTATAACGCTGCCTTCTTCTCCAACGCGGCATAGCTCGCCGACCCATCTTGAACCGCTTTCAGCTCAAGCTTGTCCCTGGAATCAGAGAAATTGGAAGAATTCATCCACTAATTGATTACCGAAACCCTAATTCTAAGCGCTTGGGAATGAATGCAATATATACGAAAGAGGGGAAGTAAAGGCAAGATGAATGTTCAAAAGGGACTCACTTGTGCGCTCGGGAATCAACACCGGAATTCTTGACGGAGAAAGCATCGTGGGGGGAGATTTTCTTCTTGGCGCGATGATATTCCACATCTGTACCGGCCAAGTCCTTGGCTTTCCTGGCTTCCTCCTGCGATTTGTAGAGCTGAGCCTTAAGCTCGACGATGGAAGAAGCGCCGACGCCCTCAATGGCTCGGTGCTTCTTCGGCATGATAGTTGACTCCGTCAGCCATCCCAGCGATTCCGCCACCACCCGCCGTTTCTTCCCTTGCCCTTCTTCCCCCATTGCTTGGAGCCCCAAATTACAATTGAAGGTGAAAAAACTTCAGTCAGAGCCCCTGGTGAAGTTTCATCAATGAATTGACGGGAAACTGCAGAGAATTTGAGTAGTTTAGGAATCGGAGAGACTGAATCGCCGGCCGTTCGCCCCCTCCGTTGGCTATTCGCAGAGCAATACTTTGTAGTTTCTAGTCCTTTCCCAATTTGCTGTGGGTTCTAGCCGGTATTGTATTACTATCGGCAAATTCTGGGCCCGAGGCCCATAAACTTGACAGTCAACTTCGGCGTCAAGTTGGGCCTGATCTTGTATATGCAGGCTAGTCCATTATTAGAAAACTGTTCCCTTGTATGAATTTATTCTTCTATGAGCAACTCACCTCCAAACTCCATGCTCCATAGGTACTTTCAACTTTCAAGAGCAAGTCTGGATCACTTCTGTAGTGTATTAGTCGTATTTGAGTATACAATTTTTTTGTACCAAAATATTATTTTGAATAATTTTCTTCATAAAGGTATCAAATTTAAAAAATAAAGGATATAGGTACTAAATTATAGTTTTCCAACAATTTATCAATTTAATCCATTAATCCACCATTGCAATTGAATTTGGATTAAATTAAATTTTTTAGTGGATGGATTGGACTGAATTCTAATTGCAGAGATTTCGCAATAAAAAATTTAAATCCAAATTTGAAGAAGACAAAGAAGATAGAGAGCTCGACCCGCAACAAATAAAAAAAATTCCAATCACATAGTTTGCGCTTGTATTCACCTGTTTAAATTTTTAGCACCACTTCATTCAAAATCGGTCTGAAAAGACCTTCCATTCATTCTGTCAAGACTCAAGTAATGGTAAGATCAATTGTATAAGTTGTTTTTATCACCACCTCACAATTAATACAATCCAAGTTATTTTAATTTTATTTCACAAAATCAATGCAATTCATTGATTTTTCTATTACAAGTATAAACATATAATAATTAACACATGCTCTCTGTAATAGGAAAACCTCTAATCATAATAACTGGCACACATCAACCAATGACCAATTTACCTACAAGCATGGTTTCTCCAAAGCTTTTGATGCCTGAACTCCATCAATTGAATTCCACAGAGCCACCAATTGACAAAGTGCAAGCGTCAAAAAAAAATAATTATAAGAGTATTATATATAGGTATCCATTTAAGCAAGCCCCCATCCAAAAAAAAAAAACAAAGCAGAAATTTCACCAAAAGAATATTCAAAATCAAACCAAAATATAATCTATAAGTCTCTAACCATTATCAACACATAAATAATATATGATTTTAACAGCATGTATGTATATATATATATATATAGCTATTCAAATAAGTTCTGCAGTGCATTGCGCTTAGGACGAGATGGCTGCTGCAGAGGCACCAGCGCCTTCTGGCTTACGATCTGTGCATTACTACTGGCACCGCCGGCGCCTTCTTGATCTTGATGATCATTATGCCCTGACATCACTCCTTGGTTTTGCATGTAATCCCATTTGTCTTGGAAAAGGTAAAAGAAAGCCATGAAAGAGACCTGAGCTGTGAAAATTATGCTCCACAGCCTTGTCCCTTTTGAGGTCTTCTTCTTGTAAGCCTCTAACCCTGTGTAAACGTTGATGATCCCAACCAGAGAGATCACTGTTCCGAGTACCCAATGGGCAAAGTACCAGGTGCTTCTCCTTTTGTTCCCTCTGTGTCAAAAATAGCAAATGATCGATCGATATGGCTAGCTAATTAGTCGCGGGATGGTATCAGAATCTTTCGTGATTGAGAAGTTATTCATGGTACATTTTGTAAAAAAAAAAAAAAAAGTTAGCTTAGTTCTCACCTGCGAGGCCTCAAGAATCCAAGGACCGCTTGCAACCAAACGACTCCGTAAAGAGCAAGGCCGATTCTCTGGTGGTTGTTGTCAAACTTGTTCTCAAACGATATTATAGATAATATAGCTCCTGAAGTTGCAAGAAGTACCGAAAGTGCCTACAATAAGATGATTTGATTCTGTTTAATCTCAAATATATGATAAAAAAACAAACCAAGTAAGTAATCAACACTTACTAATTAACTACCAAAGCAGGGAGCGTTTGTTACATGATCCACCATATATCATCATCATTGAAGCAAGTGATGGGAGAAATCATTTTTGTAAAATCAATTAACAAACTTGTTACAGGTGGTTAGGAATCATAATTCCCTTTGCTTTCTAACGAATTCAAAAGCGAAACCCCCCACAACTATTGATGAACATTGTCGTCGACACAATGATTAAAGGGAGGACGTGGGCTACATCTACAATACATAGAGATGCATGATAGCTAATTATGAGCTCAAGGAACTCCATCACTACAACCACCGACTCATTAGCTAGCTAACAAGTTAGCCACAAAATGGGTTTTGTAAGCGAAGCAATCGATCGACTGACTGTGTTTGATCTGATTAATTTACCTGGAAAACAATGTGGAGATAGAAGAAGACTCTGCGTTTGCTGCCCTGTTCTCTAAGGGACAGCCTGATGGTGAGGATGCCAAGAGGGGACAGCACACCCATCGAAACCCACAGCAGAATCCCATGAAGCGCAATATCGGATGTCTTCTTATCATCCTTAACCAGCTGGAGAAACCCCATTAATCATAATCATGATATATGGTCTGTAGCCAGGCCAGAAATGAAGAGAAACAGGGGGGGAAAAAACAGAGTACTGACTAGTTTGTGGATGCTGTCTCTGGAGATCTTGTGACTGCTCTGTCCAATCTGGTGAAGGTGATCAACTTCGTCGTGAGAGGATCCGCCGACGAAGGGGAGAAGCAGCAGTAGTGGAAGTAGGCAAACTTGGTATGCAAATGCGAGAGGCATTACTAAAGAAAGAGCTCGACCGCTAGCTTAGCAAAGTGAGAGAGAAAGTGGGGTTTTGAAGAATGTGAATGGCTTGTGGGTAGTGCTGGTTTTTTTATATATAAGCATTTCTGGATAACATTAGTAATGTTTTCTTGTAGAGGACGATCAAACTTGGCTAGGTCAATATTATAAGTGACAAAAGTGGAGAGACCCAATCGGATCATCAAAGTAGATTTAGTTATAGTGTAGAATGGACGACAACGGGGAGATGGGGGCATAGAATTGGTGAATTGCAATGGTGATATTCTTTTTTTTTTTTTTTCTTTTCTTTCTTTCTCTGAAGTGGGGAATGGGATGGTGGGAAGATGAATAGAGAGTTGTTTTTTTGCTTTCTAGACTTTGGGGGACCGTATCATATATTGTGGCAGTCATGTAGAAAGATGGAAATCCCATTAGTATGATATGTAGCTTTATAAGCTTTTGCTCTCTTGTCAAGACTAAAAAAGTTTGGTATATAAAATTTAAGAGAAGCGATAGAGAATTGGGTGAAAGAATTATGTTTCGTAGTATTGTATCATAATGACTGTCGGATCGTACAAATTGTTTATTATCGGCAATAGAATATGGTTATACACATATAAAATGAAAGATTTGTCATGTCCGATACAATTTGGTCAATCTTCTATCCGTGATATTTTGGTCGATTTTACTGTTTTTTGTTGACATTTTTAATCAATATATATTATCTTTCTTCAGTATGTTTTCGCATCGATATTCTATATATAAGTTGCGGATTAAACTACATATTAACATTAAATATCATTCTGCTAAATATTCTGACGTAATTTCTGGTAAAATTTCACAAACATGAAAAAAAAAATTGTATCTGAGTGTTTTATATTGGTCAAATACTTCCTAAATCACTATTACTGTTAATCATCGTGTAATTACATTTTTAATTCTAAAACTAAAATTTGAACACTTTTTAGGGTTTCCGCTTACTCTCTCTTGTATGAAAAGTTGAAAACTCATTTAGTTGGAATATTGAGCATGTTGAGTTGTTTAGTTAAATTTGATGTTAATACCTGTATTTCGCATTCAAACTTTGAAGTCAATAATCACTTGGGTAGAAAAAACATAGCATTATTAAACAAAGTGTTAACAGATGCTAATCATGAAAGAAAATCACTACAACTTAATCGCTAGAATGTAAATCTACTGATCATAGATCATAAGATAGCTATGATTACTAAGATTCTCACCTGAGAGATGAAATGAGGTTGATGAAGAAATTAACGATGGTAGTATGAGACCTCGAAGATATTAGCATGACCAATGAATGGTGAGTATAGCTAGAGAGGACTTTAAGGGGTCGTTTGGATTGAGTATTTGATAAACTTGTTGTTTGGGGCCAATTACCACACAAATACCACATAATATAAAACTTGTTATTTGGTATGTGATATTTGGTCTCAAACTTGTTATTTGGGAAATACCTGCCCCCTCCCAAGTATTTGGCAAACAACACTTTTTGTGTTATTTGGTCTCAAACCTGTTATTTGGCAAAACACTACATCCAAATAACACATCCCACTTTTTGTCAGCCAAACATGTTATTTGGGGTTAAATAACAGATTTTGTGTTATTTGACCTCAAATAACACCCCCAAATACTCAATCCAAACGACCCCTAAGCTTCTTTCCCTTTGGTCCTACATGCAAATGCAATCAACCACCTTAATTACTTTCTTCTGCGCTATCATATGGTTGATAACAAATACTAATGAGTAATAAGAGTTGATAAAGGTTTCTAGTTGGTAGGTGATTGAAGAGGTAAGCCATTAACATAATTTAATTTCTACAGGATTGAGTTTGATGTTTGAAAATTACAACAATCACACGATGCAAAATTTACATGGTTCACTCGGAATCAGAAATTGGAATTGTGGTTCGATGAATATTGTGGTTCGATGAAATTGGAATTGCAATATCGAGTTCGATAAATATATTTGAAAGAACAGAGATATGAGAAGAGAAAAAAAAAGATCTAAAAGAAGAAAGAAAACAATGGATGAGAACTAGTGAAATGTCGAAAGAGCCAAAATCATTGATTAATCTTATCTTCTATAAATTATATCTATTTAGTATTTAGTACTCTAACTTTATTTCCGAAATACCTCAAACCAAATTCACAAGGATTGTAAACCGTAAAGGAGGTTGTATCGAAAAAAGTTAGAGGTAATATATTTTATGTTTATATCATGATTTAACTGTGGTTCAACAATTTCATACTGTTAAAAGATTGACTACCGATTTCTACTTTTGTATGAAGTTTTCCAATTGAACAGTCAATACGATACGGTTTCACAAACCCTGCAAATCGGTTAGTATGTCTGTAATGGGGTCAGTATAGTAACAGTAAAGTAGCCATAATAATCATTACCTTCAATGCGTCTTTTAATTCAACTTGAAAAATTTTCAAGATACCCAAAGAGAGAACAAGAGTTTGGTGAGCAATCCCCATCAATCATCCCAGTCGTGTAGAGTATGTAGTGGATTTTGACTTGTAAATGCTCAATGGATGCCTTTGCCCTTTTGACAAATAATCCCTCAGAGGCAAAGCTTTTTCACTATCACATGGCTGCTGCTGCTGCGACTATTCGGTTATCAGCATGGCCCGAAGTTTGCTTGATCATTTCTTTACGTAGTTCATATAATATATTTTTGCTCATTTTGAATTTCAGATTAACATTAAGGTACACTGTTAATCGTAAATCTCATTAATCCTATTTTTATCAACTCTATTATTATAAAAATTACCAAATACATTCATCTATTTTCTTTATCGGTTAAATTTTACAAATCATTACGACAGTGAGAGTTTAATGATACAAGCTACAAATCTCATACATGACTTCTATAATGTATACTAGATTGTTTGACACTGATCAGAAAGTTAGAATGAAGCAAGATAATATTATTGGAGATGCGATCAATTTGCAGGGATTTGAAAGCTAAAGGCGTGTACAAAAGGGATATCAGTGAAGCAAACACATTCAGCATATCAACTTTCTTTTCAAAGAAACAAAGAAGGTATGCTCTACCAAGGATGTGAATGAAAAGTGAAAACTAAACAAAAGTCTGCATTCCTATTCTTCACTGATGAATGACTGAGTTTGGCCAACCATTTGTGATCAAGGATGGCATCCCAAGGACTTCGATTTGTGGGATTAGTTATAAACATTACCTTCCACTTCATTTGTATTAAACAAGCATTTGGTAATAGCTTTATCCAAATAAACATCAATCAATGATTAATCCATGGCATAATTCACTAATCAAAGTCATCTGTTCATAATTTAGGAACGGTAGGACTAAACAAGGACATTAACATAAGAAAGTAAGCACTATTTGCTCAGTAGTGATTACTAAAGCTGATTTCATAACAGCTAATATATGAAACCGAATTACCTGCAAAGTTATGAAAGCAAAGATTACTTCTTCCACACAAAATTCAATTATCATAAATTCAATTCTCATCCATATGATAAAAGCTACTACAACTTTGGGGTTCCAAAATTGAACATCATTCCAAATCAACAAAACTGATGAAACCAGCAAGTCTTCTAAAAACAGAAAAGCCCCATCGATAACCCAGCCCCCACATCCGACTCTAGCTGTGTCTCTCATTCACATTCACCAAACGCGATGAGCATCACTACACAAACAAGTTGGGCCTGGATGCCTTGTAAGTCGTCTTCAACTTCCTGGTTGGAGGCCTCACCTTCTTGAACACCAATGGGAACTTGATCTTGGAGTTGTGGAACTGCTTGGTGCTCTCCCTCTTGCACAGCTTGGCAGGGATGGTGGCAGTTTTGATCACCTGAATGCATGGAGACCTCACTCTGTGGCGAGAAGCCATCTCAGTGTACATCTGCTCCACAGCACCGTTCAGAGTGGTGTCCCTGAACTCCTTGTACATGTTGTGATACCCGGTTCGACTCTGGTAGCGGAGCCAGATCCCGTAGTTGTTTATCTTGGTTGGGTTCTTCTCGAAGATCTGCAGAAAGACCCATCATAATATGATGGTTACAACTCAAATGATGAATACTTAACAAGTGAAAAAGAAAACATGGTACCAGAACAAGATATGATATCAGTAACACATGTAGTTGCCCCAGTGTTCCCCAAAGCAAAATAAGAATTGAACGTTGGGGAGATTAGAAAAGCAACACATGAACTCTAGCTTCAAGGGAACGAGTCAAACAGGAACTAAATTAACCCATAGACTAGATAATGAAGCACTTGGAGCATCAACTATCAAGATCGACATGTCCAATAATTGGGGAAGAATAAGCAATGATGACACAACAGAACCTTGCTATACAAATCCCAACACCCAGGGATTGAGACTTAAATTGAACTGATAAGATTGAGATTGACATAAAGGAAATGTAGCTGCTCCAGTGTACCCCCAGGGCAAAAATAGTATTACCAAGGGGGAGATTGAAAAAAGCAACACAAGTTTTATAGCTTCAAGGGAACGAGTCATGTAGGAATTAGTATAGTCCATACCGACTAGATGATGAAGCAATAAGTTAACCATTCAATTGGCCCAATCCTAAACATAGAAAACAACCTAAAAGCTCAGTAACATAGATCAGGTAGCTGATTCAGTCAAAACACCCACAGAAGTTTTACCTCGTTGATAGCAAGAATTTGACCATTGCTTTTCTTCACCTTCTTCAACTTCCTCAAGAAGTACCTGCTCAATCCCAAACCAAAATCAAAGATCCCATCAGAGACACATTAAAAATAAAAACAGCCTCAAAACAGCTACCAAAACACACCCACTTACCAGAACTTGGACTTAGCACGGACTTCATTTGTGTGCCACAACTTCATCCTGTAAATCTTGGGATGCTCATCACCCTCAGTTGGGAGGGCTCTTCCAACAACCTGGTACTGGTGATACTGTACACACACACACAAAAAAAAAACATCAATTAATAATCACCCTAACCTTGCTCATTAGATTCCGAACAATAACATATCTGAATAAAATGCATCCCAATCACTACCCGAATCTACAAACTCAAGACATTAACTGTAAGACTCATTCCACCACAATTTGAACATGCCACAGTACCCAAATTCCAAATGAAGAACTAAAACTCAAACCGTTCAAAGCAACGTGGTAAGAAAGGAACATACGAGTGCCAAATCCCCAAATACGACTCAAGCAAGCAAACGAATGACTTGACCCCATAATAACTAGCTCAAAATCCAGGAGGTCTTATCATATCTAGCAACATTTACAGCTCCACCAAATTATTAATCGCACAAAATCGCGAGCTTGCTATTTCACCTAGATGTACAAAACTACGGAGTGGAGCACCAGAACAATCAAGTGAAATGCAAATTGAGCTACGAAGAACATCAATGACGGAGAGGAACCGGCCAAGATGCATCAGAACAATGAAAGATCAGGTAAAGGAAGCAGCTACGTACCCTGTATGCGACCATTTTCGCAGCAAGAGGAAGATCCGTGCAGCTGCTCCTCCGTCTCTCACTTACCTACAGAAAGCGAGCGGTAGGGTTTTTCTGCGGCTTTATATAACTAGCTCGAAGATGTAAACGAACCCTAATTGCGCTCGGCGGGCTTGCGGGGCATTGCTAATTAGTAGTGGGCAAAGCCCAATAAAAGTACGTTGATGGACGACTTGTTGGGCCTGACTGTCATGAACTCTTAGACAATGACATCAAGGTTCCCGAAGACAGTTTTTCAGCTATTCTGTGCGCTTGACTGACCCAAGCCCAATTGACCTTAACATAATCAAACGATGAGCATTCATACACAGTCAGAGAATGGAATACAATTTTACCTATAAATAAATAAATTTTTACCAAGAAAAGAGTATAGAATATAAGCACATGCGAAAAATCGACCAAGACCAATAATGGAACTTTTGATGAAAAAGTTTGTTTAACCACAAAATGAACAGCCCTACTATCACTACACGGAGCAAAAGAATAAGACCAGAAGCCAAAGTTCACAGCTAGAAGACGAATGCCTTCCGAAACCTATATTTGTTTTCTCTAAAGGCAAAATTCACTTACATAGCCATAACTTTGCACTTTGTGACAAATATAGCCAGATTCGGAGAAATACACAGAAATAGCCAAAAATTTGAAAATGCGTTGACAATAATAGCCATTTCCGTTATTAAATGTGACGACGTCAGGGACGCCGTTAATTACATGTTCGCTTAGCTGACATGGCCAACCTACAACCTCCACGTCGGCGCCAACAGGACTGAATTTGCCACCAAAGCGCCACATCATCCGGAGGAGAGAGAATCGTTTGGGGCAATTAAACCTAGCCGATCTTCCAGCTACTTCTCCTCCATCTGATTTTCGATTTCATCTTCCCTCCTCCCAAAAAAAGCCGAAATCGACTTCCATCTTCCTCGCAGCGGCAGTGTCAATCCGGCGAAAACCCTCGACGCCGTGGGTGTGATTCCGATTCTCCCATCCCTCGACGCCGTGGGTGTGATTCCGAAATCGGCTTCCATCTTCCTCGACTCGCAGTGTGAACCCGCATCTCCCATCCATCCCTCTGATTCTCCCATCCCTCGGCATCTCACATCCCTCTGAAGTGTCAACCCTCGACAGAATCGAGGGGCAGAGGAAGAGGCGAGGATTACTTACCGATAACAGATTAGGGTTCGAGCTTCGTCTCTGGATTTTTTTACCGGAATCGATAGTTCGAGCTTCGTCACCACCTCTGTGTTCGTCAATTGAGATGGGTATGGAGGGAAGTTCGATGACCAGATCAATGAGGCGAGAGGACACGTCGACCAAGGCGAGATGACCGGATGACTGTGTTGGTCAATTCACAGTCACCGGCGAAGAGAATCGAGAGTGGGGGGTGGAGATTTAGGGTTCTGCTGGGTAGGGTGAAAGAACGAAGGGGAGGGGGGGGGGTCTGCGAAAGGATGAAAATTTGGTAAAGTAGGGTAAAAACTAATTAATGAAAAATAATAAATTCATTTCCACGTTGGCATACACGTAGACCAAATTAAACGCGGCCATTTGGGTTCGTTTGTCTAGTCAGCAGGCGTTATGTTTTCTGTTACATTATTGGATGGAATGGCTATTTCTGTGTATTTCTCCGAATCTGGCTATATTTGTCACAAAGTGAAAAGTTATGGCTATGGAAGTGAATTTTGCCTTCTCTAAATAATGTTATCTAGCAAATTTGTATATGATCCTCAACACCTAATGGACTATCATCTGATTTTTTTTTTTTTTTTACAAAAGATAATCTTATATTGATTCAAGAAAAGATAATTACATCCTGGTTCCCAGCCAGGCCTGGAAATCAAAAACACGACTCATAGTCGGAGACAAAGAAAGGGCCTTCCTAGCCACCCGGTGGGCTACCCTATTGTTATTCCGACCTACAAACCGCACACCCATGACCCAACCCCGGATGAGAATCAAAGTAGTGTAAAACTTCTTCTAGAATAGCCCCCACCCGGTTATCACTAGCCTGCCGCGAATTAATCTTATCAATAACCACCTTGGCATCTCCTTCAAACCTAACCATCGCGAACCCAAGTCCCAAACACTAGCCAATAGCCTCCCGAAGGGTCAGTAATTCAACGACCATAGGGTCCACCACATCAGGAAATCTGGCCCCCCTAGCCAGCAGTAGATCATGGTTCGAGTCCATAAGCACCATACCACTGGTTGAGGGAGCACCCTGTCTAGTAGCCCCATCCTAGAGGCAGACGACCCTAGAATCGCCTACCGAGGAAGCCGAGGGGATAGACGTGGTATGCGGAGGCAGAATTCGATCCATTAGCAAACTCATCCACTCCTCATATTGCTGGTAAAATTGTCGCATCAAGGCTGGGATCCCAAACTGATTTGCCTTAAAAACCCACCCAGTTCCGAGAGCGCCATATCCGCCAGAGGACCGCCACCAACGCCATAAACAAGTCCGACTGATGAATGAGAGCCATTACTCTTTTCAGAAACAGAGGGAAAGTATGGGTAGGCAAACCTTGCCCTAGAAACTCCAACCCCGAGAGGTCCCAAAGTGCACGCGCCACTGGACAAAAGAGAAAGAGATGCTCCAACGTTTCCGATTCCTCCCAACACACCGGGCATCTGGGGTGTACCTGAACCTCTCTCTCAATGAGAGCTTCCGTAGTTGGGAGGATCCTATTCAAAATCTGCCAAAGGAACACCTTCAACTTTGGTGGGACATTCGCGCCCCAAAGACGGACCCGGCTCGCCTTATCCATCCAACTCACCGATGAGCGCCACCCACCCTTCTGTTTATCCAAAAGAACCGCAAGATGGTACGCTGACTTAACAGTAAACTGACCATCCGTCGTATCATGCCAAATAAGCCTATCCGGTATTTGATGCCAAGGGAGGGGGATTGCCTTAATTGCCTGACAGGTAGGGGGATCAAACCATTGCACTACTAACTTGGTGTCACACCACCGCCCCTCTCCGGGGAACAAAACCTCCGCCACACAAGGGTCACCGCCCTCCGGAAGAACTTGAGGATTAAGCACCGGGGCCGATGGGTGCAAATTAGGAATCCAATTGGAGTGCAGAAGAGAAGCAGTCTGGCCATCACCAATCTGCCACCGAAGACCCTTCTCAAGCAGAGTTCTACCAAAAAGGATACTCTGCCACCCCCAGGATGGACGGGACCTTGCTTGAGCAGTGAGGAACGTACCATTGGGAAAGTACTTTCCTTTATAGACTTGGGCTAAGAGGGAATCGGGTTCATTAAGGATACGCCACCCAATCTTGGGTAAGAGAGCTTGATTAAACTGCTCGAAACGACGGAACCCCATACCACCATCATGCTTGCTTCTGCACATATTCTGCCATGATATCCATCGAATTTTTGAATGGTCATTCGCAGTCCCCCACCAAAACCGTGCTATATGTTTATCTAAGAGACGACAGAGAGACAACGAGAGCTTAAAACACGACATGACATGTAGGGGCAAAGCTAAAGCAATAGATTTAATCAAGGTTTCCTTTGCCGCCCAAGACAAAGTCCGTTGTTTCCACCCCTATAATCTCTCCAATAATTTCTCCTCCAGATATCGGAAGGTAGCCATCTTAGATGGGGCTATCAGCGTCGGAAGGCCAAGGTATTTATCATGGACGCCTACTGCACCTACACCCAGAATCTGGGCCAAGAACTCTTGGTCAGGCAGTGCTATATTCTTGCTAAAGCAAACTGCTGATATACCCAGATTAACTCGTTGTCCACTGAGTTCCTCATACTCATTTAAAACCTCAAGCAGGTTCTCACATTCCCGGAGAGATCCCCGGAGAAATAAATAGGAGTCATCAGCGAAGAACATGTGGGAGATTCTAGGAGCACGCGGAGCAACCTTCACACCTTCCAATTTCCGTTCCGTAATAGCCTTCCGTAAGAGAGCAGCAAACCCCTCCGTACAAAGTACAAACAGCAACGACGAGAGAGGATCCCCTTGCCGAAGACCCCTCGTCGGGGAGAAATACCCCGAGGGGGAGTCATTCATTAGAACCGAAAAAGAAGTGGATGCTAAGCATTCCTGGATCCATCCCCTCCAGGTAGAGTTAAAGCCCATTTTCTCAAGAACAGCAAGAAGAAAGGGCCATTCAACTCTATCATAGGCCTTTTCCATATCAACCTTCAGAGCCATGTAGCCTTTCTTTCCTTTCTTTTTGATTTTTAGGTAATGCATCAACTCGTGTCCTAGAAGGACATTATCCACTATCTGGCGCTCCTTGATAAAGGCATTTTGGCCCTCCGAAATTATATTAGGTAGGAACTCGACCAGACGCTCCGCCATAATTTTAGTAATAATTTTGTATACGAACTGGCATAGACTGATTGGACGAAGCTGTCGCATAGTTTCCACCGCATCGACCTTGGGAATCAGAGTCAGCCAGGTGTGATTAAAACTCCGAAGCATTTTGCTCGTTGAGAAGAAAGAACAAACTGTGTCAATCACTAACTCCCCAACAATGTCCTAGAAAGCTTTAAAAAACTTGCCAGTGAACCCATCCGATCCTGGTGCTTTTGTCGAACCCATAGCAAACACAGTTCTGCGAACATCATTAGGTTGGACTGGGGCCGTGAGAGAAGCATTCATTTCAGGAGAAACACTGTGAGCGATAGGGAGGGCCGCCACCCTGTCAGGCATATTCCCCACCTGGTTTTCCGAGGTGAATAACTTTTGGTAGAACGAGCTGGCAATGTCCTCTTTCCCAGTCTTATCAGTGATCCAATCCCCAGTGTCATTACGCAGACCGGAAATAAAATTTTTCTTCCTCCTTGTCCTCGTGACCGTATGGAAGTAAGAAGTGTTTTTATCCCCTTTTTCAGCCAATTTACCCTAGACTTTTGTTGCCAATACATCTCTTCCGCCTCTCATTGCCTAGATAGCTCCGATTCCAAGGTACGGACTGTATCCCAATCTATTGGGTGGACCAATTTGATCCGATCAACTTCAGACTTGAGGGTCCGAATATTTCGCAAAGAGTTCGTAGTACCAGCCCTACTCCAATCATAAAGCAGATGGTGAAGCTTCTTAAGCCGCTCCCAGAGCTGGTACATGGGTGTTCCCTGGATCCCCTCCTTCCACACATAGGCCACCATAGCTCTGACCTCAGGATTATCCGCCCAGCGGGCATCAAATCTAAAAAGAGGGCGACTATGGCGCCGATAAGGCTGGTCTGAGAGGAGGATGGCCTGATGGCCCGATCCCTGATTAGTGAAATGCTTTACCAGAGATTCTGGAAATCGATTCACCCAAGTCTAAGAACACAGAGCCTGATCCAATCTTTCACGAATACAGGCCACTCTCATGCGCCTGTTAGTCCAGGTGAATTGATCACGCTGGAACCCAGGGTCATGAAGACAAAGATCATGGATAAAATCGCGCAAACTAAGAGACTAAGTCGCATTCCAAGCATTCCCACCATCTTTTTCACCCTCATGGAGAGTAGCGTTGAAATCACCAATGACAACATATGGGAGCTGAATTGTGCTACAGATCTCTTGTAACTGGGACAATTGAGCGGCTCTAGTGGCAATATCACAGCTAAAGTAAACAGAAATCACAACATAAGAAAGCTCAACTTCATTAATCTGAGTGCAGATACAAAAGTTGGAATGAAAAAACACCGAAGCATCAACCCCGGGGGACCAAGCTACAACTAAACCACCCGATGCATTAACAGCATCCACAAAGAAATAATGAGAATGATGAAAACCTAACCCCCGCATGCGACAGATAACTACACGCCGGCTCGATCGTGTCTCCGAGAAGAACACAAGATCCGGTTTATTAGAATGCAATAAACCTACAGCAGTTTGGAATGTGAGGGCTAGCCCAATTCCTCTCACATTCCAGGCCAGAAGCCTCATTTATCTGGTTGGGGCCACTCCAGGCTGGCTTCCTCCACCTTTTCCACATCAGCTTTCTCCTCAACAAACTGTTTCTTGGGGGTTGGATTCTCCGCCATCTCCCCCTCAATCTCGTCAAACTGACGTTTCTTAATCCCCGCCCCCGGCTCAGGTATGTTTGTACCATATTCATTCAAGGGGAAATCGTTAACAGCTTCAACCACCGGATTCTGTATGCCTGCACATACTCGAGGTTGGGGTTGGTCCGTATCGTAATTTTCCTCATTGTCCTTCATTGCCAAGCCCATTTCAAAAGCTCGCACAACTTGATTAACCCGAGAATTCTTAACCAGTCGCTTCAGGGTCCTTGTCTCCGAAGGAGCACGACGCCGCAGCTCAAATAATTGGGCCTCGTCGTCCGATCACGTGTCCTCCAAATCCCGAGGGTCAACAATGGGCTCGGGAGAATCCGGGCCAGCCTTTGGAGACACCGCCAGGCCCGCCTGCCCGCCTTCGGTCCCTTTGTCTCCACAAGGACCCGATCCGAAGAGGGCTTAGGAGGATTCCTTTTGCTTATGTGTTTGGGCTTGTCGGCCCTCTCCCTTACTGATCCCCCTTCCTTTATTCTTTTTGGTCATGTTCCCGCTGTTGGTGCCTTTAGAGGATGGGCATGCCCAGTGCTAGGCCTGGGGCCCAGATGAGGCGGGTCAGCATCACCCTTCCCCTTCCGCTGGGCTTTCCGGGCCTCGAAGCGATTGGGGTCAGCCGCCCTTTGCCCGTTTGAGTCATCCTGCCGAGGAAATGGACGACCCTCCTTCTGCTTGCTAGGCGGTACAGGCTGAACCACGAAATCATCTTCCGATTCATCCTCCAGAATGAGTCTCCGGCGACACGATACTGCTTTGGCCGCCGCACCAGGGGAAGTACCAGCAGGGGGAAGCGTCTCCCGTGGCAAGCCTGCCTGTTCACGATGGTTACCGTCTACTGCGGCAGACGACATCCTATTATCCCGCGAAATTCTGCCATGTCTGCCACGGCGGCCCGCCACCCGGATCGAGTTTTGGTCCCCATCAACCTCCATCGGACTGCCCAGTGGAACAACCTTCCCCTTCCCACGGCGACCTGGCCTACCAAAGGGAATTTTGGGAACCTTTGGAATCGAGAAGCGAAGAGGGCTCCTCCCCGGCTTAGATCGAGGCGCTTCAGGCTCGGTAGTGGCGAAAGGGTTTTCCGAAGACCCCATCCACAGCAGGCTTCTTTCGACCAACAGACTTTTGGTAGGTTGCGAGTCTCGCCGCCCCAAAGTTCCTGGTCTAGGCTCCACCCGTTCCACCTGTTCCACCTGGCTAGGTTTGTGGCGAATATTGGAGTTAATCCAAACCGAATTGGGATGTTGGCTTTGCTCCTCCTCATCGAAAATCTTCCTTCCCATTTTTTTGGTCGCCATATGGGGGCCAAACCGCTCCTTTCTTGGTGGCGGGTCAAACCCACAATTCTGGCGAAAATGCCCCACCCGGCCGCAGTTATAGCAGAAAGGTGTTCATACTTGAACCTGATCCAAAAAGAGCCCATCTCCTCATTTGTCGCCATGATCTGCGATCTTAACGGTTTGGAGAAATCGATGAGGACTTTAACCTTGATGAACGTCTTGGCAGTATCTGTGCAGGAGAACACGCCTGCTTCGAGAACCCGGCCTAGGGTGGAACTAGCCACTTTTCTGCCAAACTGTTGAGTGCAGCACTCCTCCTGTACATCCCACATTTGGACTCGGAAAGGTGCAATCGCCAACTCTTCAAACGTGCGAGCAGTAATATATGGTGTCCAGGCACGCAGGTGAAGAATTTTATCCTTTATAACCCAGGGAGTGCGTTGGAGCACCTAGTTTTTGGCCACTTCAGTGGGGAGAACAAATTCGTATAATCCGTGCCCCACCTCCCTTACTTTGATTCTTCCCTGGCCTTGCCATGGGTTGTTGGTTCCTTCACGTAGTTCAGCAATTGACAGCAGATCCTCCGCAAAGACCCGACCAAGCAGCATCCTCGACTTGCACACCCTAGCGGACTGAATCTCCGTTAGCGAAAATTCCACAACCTGATCACTCGCAATGTGAGCCATGGTGACCGACTGCAGCAGAGACGAGAAAGTCAAGTCACCAACATTAATAACGACAGGAAGTTCGCCAATCGGAGCCCACGGGTAGCTCGAGAAGCTGCTAAAGAAATTTCTGGTAGGAATAGCCTCTACCCAAACACAGAGAATGATCTCCGAAAGAAGAAGTTCCCACGTACCAGAATAGAGCTCCTGCTTTGAGTTGGAAACGCAGTTGTTTGGCACCCGACCTCCCTTTCGACGATTGCGTTGGTGAGGGATGGGCTTTGATAGCTGTGTTAAATAGGCAGGGAAGGTCGGATACGCCCATTGCAGCGGGAGTTCTATCTGAGGTGGGGAACTAGATTTTTTAAAATTGAACAAACGGTCAGTGGAAATACCAAACCCTGCAGAGATACGGCGGATTTCCAAATCTCCCCGCCTGCTACAAACCCCCGACTTAATTGCGGGTGCAGAGATACAGCAGAACACCAAATCTCCCCGCCCGTTACAAACCCCCGACGAAATCGCAGGCCTACTGAAATTTCGCTTGCCAGCAATCAGCCCTAGCAGCGTACGATTCGGGTAGAGGCCCGATCGGAGAAACGCTGGGTTCCACGGCTCCGTCATCGGCTTGCGTCGGTCACAGTTTTCCGGTTCCTGAACACCATTATCAAATTGAATGGAACTCGCCCCATTCCGGGGTCTGAATTCGAAGCTCACCCCATTTCGGAATCTAAGCTCAAAGCAAGGGGTCTCAATCCCTGATTCCAGGACCGTGGACGGCACCTCACACTCGTGACAATGGTCCAATGAGTCCAGGTCCTCGTGTGTCTTTATTTCAACCCCCTCCGACGATGGTAAGTAGAAACGCCACTTCAGTTGCTTCGATCGACGCAGTCGCTTGGGCTGCTTGTCTTCCAGGACGCGAGCAGCAGTAATCACCCGAAAATTACCGGCTACGGTAAGAACTTAGGTGAGTTTACTTCAATGCCTACTTGCCTTCGACTCGTTTAGGATGAATAACCTACCAAACAAATGAAAATACATAAACAAACACCAATTGCTTGGATGTATATGTTTACTTGTAGCCAAATCAGGCGATCAAATTCCAATCTTGAGATGACATTCAATCGAGTTAAACAAGTGTTTTGATCTCTTCATGTTGCCTCTAGGCTCGAAGTGTAATGAACTATTAATCGACGCTGATTAAGGGGCCTGAAAATCAGTGATTCAAACCAAAGAAAGAGAAGGGAAACGTAATAATGCATCAATATACAGCCCAATCAACAGTGACTGATGTCTTGTCTACAGCCCAATTCCTTCTAGTTTAAGTAAAAAATTTACAGGGATGATCGATGCCACAACCATCAGTTAACACATGAAAAAAGAGTTCCAAATTGCCGAACACCCATCCTACAGCTCCCCCCTGCACAGCATAAGGATTCCACCACGGCTATACCACCTTTCAAATAAGTAACCTGAATGGTAAACTGCATAAACGAGTCGATCACTCTGTAGAACATGCAAACTCCACGTTTGGGTCTTCACCAGGTGTTAGCTCCTTTAGTAACCCCAAGCGTAACAGCAGTCATAGCAAGAACTGACTGGAATCAGAGAAACAGGTTGTATCAGGATATACTCAATTTCTGACAAACGGTATGAGCCCAAGTCTGTACATAAGTCCAGTCGTAACTCATATGAGACAAGGAAATCAAAATAGCTTCGAAGTCCACAAGCAAAGGGGATATTAGCAGGCAAACCAATACTCACAGCTATCACACACGCAACATATCCAGGCTTCTCTCTGTAGTCCACTTGTGCGAATAGTAGAACAAATGCCCCAATGTACCAAGGAATGCCACCAAAGAAGAAGCCAACAATAAACCTTGCAGGATAACGGGAAAAGGTTAATGTTAGCTGCACCAAATCCACCCCAAAACTCAGATTACATTAAGCAAACTAAAAGACATGAAAGAACAAATGAAAACAAGAACAACACGCATCAGATTTTCAGGCATGATTGGATGTTGGTACGATGACAGATTCAATACTATATATAAAAACATAAGGAAAGAAATCTCACCAAATCCACCCCAACAACAATAAGCAAACAAAAGGAAATAGAAAGATTGGAAGAAACCAAGAGCAACACTCATTAGCTTTTCAGGCATTCTTGGATGTTGATAACAATGACAGATGCAATACAACATATAAAAACATGCACGAAGAAGTCTCACCAAATTCACCTCAAACTCTTTGTCAAAAAAACATCCGCCTCAAACCCCAACAACAATAAGCAAACAAAAAGAAATTGAAAGAATGAAAGAAACCAAGAGCAACAGGCATTAGCTTTATAGATATTCTAGGATGTTCAGCACAATGACAGGCTCAATAGATTATATCGAAATCAAGCGTAAAGAAACAGCTCTTGATAGATAGCAACCACTAGTACAGGACAGGCAGTATATATTAAATTACCCAACTTACAAGTTTGTGATTCAGATAACCTAACAAGCTACTCAACCCATTTCATTTATACCAGTTTTGTTAAACAAAATTGGGCAAACTACTAGGGGAAACGTCTACCTATCATCCATTGTTATAACCAAAATAGGAATCGATGAACAACAAAGGCAACTGTGTCAGGGAAGCATACACGTGAAGTTCTTTCCTCGTCCATCCAAGAGGGAGGCGAAGAATGAACTCATCACCAATGGAGAAGATATTAAAAGGGGGGAAAGATAGGTCATTTCGCCATTAATGATCATAATAGATGTTGAAATTTGAAGATCCAAAACTTACAAGAACCATCCCATGCCCATTCCACAGCAAGGGAGGGGAAATTCCCTAATTAAAGGCCTGCCCTCTGCAATCACATAACCTTGAAACAGACAACCAAAAAATATCAGCATAAGAGCAATGAAATAATGGGGAAACGAGAGAGAGAGGCACCGGTGTCAATGGCGTGGTATCCATGTGCATAGTAAGGGTGGTTCACGACGGGGCCACGAAGAGGGGCGATCGGCTGGACGAAACCGACGGCAGGCTGGGATTGTTGTGTAAACGGCGGAGGAGCAGAAGGCGGGTAGTAATTGGCGACGCCTTGAAAAGTCCCGTAGTAGAGCGGGTTGTTAGGGTTGCCGGCGGCGGCGAGGCCCCTGCCTTCTCCTTCTCCGGTCATTATGATGCCGAATCAATCGAGAAGACAGAAGAGAGGGTTTCAACTTCCAATTCGAGAGTTTTCCTTTTCAATTATCCCCGTCTGATAATTGTTTGCATTTCTATTCTCTCCCTCCTCCTTCTGCGCTATTAGGCAAACAGTTTCCCGGCGGAACGACAACGAGAAGGACGCCTCGTAGTTTCCTTCCAATCTGAATCTGCCTGCACAAGGAAAGCCCAAGTAATTGATCCAGTAGCAGATATTTTGCAGAACGGGTTTGAACTGGATCTCGTAATCTAACTGGGTTGGGCTTGAGGAAAAACGAAGAAGAGAAAATCTACCAGATCGACTTGAAAGTTAAAGATTTTGAGCGGACATGGATCACTAGATTTTTTTTATGGGAATCTGCTGAAATTTTTTGATAAGAAACTATTGTTACATTGTCCTGCACTAACTGATTTAACAATATAAACCGTTATTGTTCATTCAAACGGGACTTGGCATGGGCATGGGCCATCACATGAGCAACCTTGTTACCCTATTTTGGGAGAAGACGACATTCGCCATTTAACTCAGCTAGCTTTCGTCGGATGATCCTACATATAATTCCAATCTCGGTGTGAACTTCAACCATCATTTCCAATTTACCTGTTAATGACAGCCTATCCATCTCCAGGATGTATCGCTTCCCGGGACATTGAAACGCCAGCTGGACTCCTAACTCTGCTGCAAGTGCTTCAGCGGTTTCAACGTTCACCTGGCTTGGAATGTTCCTCGCTGCAACAAGCAAAAATCGACCTCCATTCCCACGAATAACCAGTCCCAACCCAGTTACTCCATCCTCCATTGTCCCTACATCAATATTGATTGGCACCTCCCTTTCTGTGGCATGCTCCTTCCCTTAGCCTCGTGTCTGTGCTGCTCAACTACAATCTTTAATTGTCGAGCTTTATAGTCCTCAAGAAAGAATTTTGCTTTCAGCACAATCTCGGATTCCACAAGCTTTTTGCCATTGAAAAGATAGCATTCCTTTCTTTCCAAAAGAACCATAAGAGCACACACCAGCTCTCCAACACCTCATCCCCATTTCTCGCCATCACCTCCTTAAACCATTCATAGCAGCCCCATTTCCTCTGTTGGGAAAGCAGCTACTAAGCTCCGTTGTTCTCCATATCCTGGTAACCCACTCACACTCTCTGAACAGGTGTGTCTGTGTTTCTCGGGCATCACAAAAAGGACATTTATCTCCCCCCCACCTCTTGCTTTTGGTACTGATGTGATCCTCCGTTGGAAGGACATGTCGAGCAAAAATGCCAGTAGAAGTATCGGATTTTGGGAGGAATTTTCAGCCTCCATAGCTTGTTCCAAACTTCCGGACTCCCAATCTGGCTCACCCCATTCCTCCGCTTAATATCCTCGAACCAAAAGTGGTTGCCATCCTTAACTATGTAGACTCCCTTCTCATTATTTTCCCAAATCAGCGTATCCTGTTCTTCACATCCTCTCGGCGGGATTTGGAAAATCTGTCGTATCGTACCCGATTGAAAGCAAGCTTCCACCAACGGAAGATCCTAAAACCTTGTCTCTGGGTCAATTAGTTCTCTGACTCTAGACGTCACATCCAAGCATGTTGGCGCATCGACCACATAGTAAGGTTCCTCCGAGAGCCATTTATCCCCCCAGATACGTACCAAACTCTCATCCCTGATGCGCCAACGTATCCCACCACGTAGCAATTCTTGAGCGCTCATCATACTGCGCTAGATGAAACTTGGCTAGAACCAACCGAGGCTTCAAGCACACTCGAATTCTTATAGTATTTTACCTTCATTACGCGCGCCACCAGAGACAGTGGGCGTTGGTGGATTCGCCATAGTTGTTTTGCTAACATGACTTCATTGAACCCACGCAAACTCTTATACCCAAATCGCCTTCTGATTTTGCACACACCATCTCCTCCCACTTAAGAGGAGATTAGTAAGAGCCTAAGAGGTTAAAGGTGGTTTGCTTGTTGAAATTGAAAAAGCAGGCTTTTTGGTAAAAAAAAAATTATATTGAATTTGTTGCATTAAATATATTTGGAGAGTTCATTATTTGTATGGTAGATTTGATGATATATTTATGATGGAATTTTGGTAAAAATTATATTGAATTTATTGCATTATATAGATTTGAAGAGTTCATTATTTGCATTGTAGATTTGATGATATATTTATGATGGAATTTTTGTTACAAAGATCAATTGTATTTCAAGATTCTATGGAAATCCTGCCATCCACCAAATCCCAACATAATATATGGGGGTTTACAAGTCTATGTGGTTCACCGAATTAGATCCAAATAAAGACCAAATTTGTGGACCCCACAGATTTGACACCCACATACTTTTATTGATGGAGTAACTATCAGGATTGGGAACTAGATCTAGCCCAACCACCAATGAGAAATCTCGATGTCGTCCAATTCGATGAGGATATTCGTCACCTCATCTTTGTTCCGATTGCGAGTCCTGTTAACACAAAATGGAAAGCTAACTAGCAAATTTTTTATTGATGAACTGAATAAACAAAAAGTACATGATTATGACCACTGATGTAGGCCACGACAAACAACTTTCAACCTCCTATCGTTGGGTTCTAGTCTTCCAGACCACTACTAAAAGACTCCCCAACTTAAAACATGATCATCAACATCATCCTCCCTTAAACTTAAAACACTTTCACAAACATCGATTCACTTTGCTGCACTAAACTATTCGGCATCACATACTCCAAGTTGGCTTCTCGATAACTAGAAAGTCTCCAACTTGAGTACTTCGTCATTATATATTCAATATGCTCATGAGTCCCACAGTGTTCCATCTCAATTACTTCCTCCTTTGTCACCTACCTCAAAAATTGAAAGTGCACATCAATGTGCTTGCTTTTATCATAGAGTGTAGTCTCAAAATGGGGTTTAAACTGACAAGTTTTATTCCAAGGTGGATTAAACCAATATGTACAGACTCACAATGGCCAAACACAACGACTCCCCTGAAAGTCTCAACCCCACAACCCACCAAAGTAGCTAACATGATCACATGATCAACTCACAACTGAAACTGACTCCCTAAGACTCTGCAAGGACTGAATAAATATAACTTGACAATTCGATGACTTAAATATAAATGACCAGAGACACTTTATTTGAACTTCAACTTCTGCGCACCAAGACTCCAACAATCTGGTTTGATTCCATGCTCCAACAAAGCCTCCCCTGAACTGAAGCCTCTGCTGCAAGCTGCAAGCTTCAGTACATCACACTGCAACTCTTCAATCCTTCAGGCCAAGCTTAGAAACATCACTGAGAAACTCAGAAATGTCACAAACACCCAGCTTACTTCTCAACCACAGGAATGCATCAAGTTTGAGAGGTTTGGTCATGATATCAGCCACCTGATCCACAGTTCCACAGTGCTCCAGCTCGATGGTTCCTTCCTTTGCCAGCTCCCTTAGAAAATGAAATCGAACATCGATATGCTTGCTTCTTCCATGCATCACAAGGTTCTTAGATAACTTAATTGTGGAGCTGTTATCACACATCACCCTGGTTGCTTCCTTCACACATGAGCTCCATCCCATTTGCTGCAGCACATTCCTTAGCCAAACACACTGAGTTGCACTGTATGAAGCAGCAACAAACTCAGCCTCAGTGGTCGATAGAGTGACTACTGGTTGTTTTTTCAAGGCCCAGGACACAGCTCCTCCTGCTAAGAAGAAGACATACCCACTGGTACTCTTCCTGTCATCAGTGTCACATGCATAATCAGAATCAGTGAACCCCACCAGACAGTCTTCTTTGCTTCCTTTCTTGTACCAGACACCATAGGTCATAGTACCCTTGAGGTATCTTAAGATTCTCTTGGCTGCCAATACATGCTGTCTTGTAGGAGCCTCCATGTACCTGCTAAGCAAACAGACTGAGTGCATAATGTCAGGTCTGGTAGCAGTAACATAGAGAAGACTCCCTATTAGTTGCTTATACTCGGTAGGATCCACCAATGCTCCATCCCCAGCCTTTGTCAACTTCATACCAGGAACCATGAGATGCTTGACAAAGTTGCATTCAAGCAACTTGAACCTGCTCAGTACTTCCTTGATGTATTTCTGCTGATTAATGAATATGCCAGACTTAGACTGAGTAACCTCAACCCCAAGAAAGTACTTCATCCTCCCCAAGTCTGTCATTTCAAATTCAGACTTCATTAGCTCCTTAAACTCTTCAATCAAGGTAGGATTGTTGCTGGTGTACATGAGATCATCAACATATAGACTTACTAGCAGAAAACCAGCCTCGGTTGTTTTTATGAACAAAGTATGCTCATAATCACATCTGATGAACCCAGTCTTGAGAAAGTAAGCCTCTATCCTACTGTACCAGGCTCGTGGAGCCTGTTTCAGACCATAGAGGGCCTTTTGGAGCTTATAAACCTTCTGTTCCTCCCCAGGAATGACAAATCCCGGTGGTTGTTCAATGTACACATCCTCAGTCAGCTCCCCATGCAAGAAGGCACTCTTGACATCAAGCTGGAATACGGGAAGACCATGATGGGCAGCAAGAGCAAGAAGAGTCCTTATTGTATCCCATCTGACAACTGGAGCAAAAAATTCTGTGTAATCAATGCCATGCCTCTGTGAGTATCCCTTTGCCACCAGCCTTGCCTTAAATTTATCCACTGATCCATCTTCTTTAAGTTTGGTTCTGAAGACCCACTTAACTCCTATTGGAGTTACTCCTGCAGGTAGAGTTGTTAGTATCCATGTGTTGTTCTTTATAATAGCCTCAATCTCTTTCCTCATGGCTTCATTCCATTTCTCATCTGCAGCAGCTTCTTCATAGGTCTGTGGATCATCACTTACAGCCACCATTGCCCACCAGTCTGTATCACCAAAGTTACAGTCATAAATTGAGAGATGAGATGGAGGATGTCTGCTTCTAGGAGCCAATCCACCACTGGGAAGTCCCAAGCTATCAGTATGTGAACCTGAATCTTCTTGACTTGCAGAAGAAGAAGTAGTAGCAGAAGTTCCAATAATCACAGGTGTTGCTGGACTTGGGGGATCTGCTTCTTCCTCATCTTGAAACTCTGCTGCCACAGACTCTTCTTCAGCATCTGAGTCTTCCCAAAAGCCATCACTTCCCTCCCAAATGAGTTTGGTCAATACAGAATGAGTATCAGACTCCCATTACCACCCTTCACTTTCATCAAAGGTAACATCTCTGCTTACCAGCACCTTTTTTGTAGCAGGATTATACAACTTGTATGCCTTTGATTCTGTTGAAATGCCAAGGAACTGGCATTTAATACTCTTCCCATCCAATTTCTTCCTCAAATGATCATGTACATGTACGTAACCAACACAACCAAACACTTTGAGATGATCCACTGAAGGGGGTGATCCAGTCCAAATCTCATGTGGTGTTTTTCCGTCATTTGCTGATGTTGGACTTCTGTTCAGAATATGAGCTGTCCAGGCCACAGCTTCAGGCCAGAAAGCAGCAGGCACCTTTGTATCGTCTAGAGAACACCTTACTAAATTCATGATAGATATGTTCTTCCTCTCAGCCACACCGTTCTGCTGAGGTGTGAGAGCAGCAGTAAGTTGCCTCTTGATACCATTCTCTTCACAAAGTTGCTGGAATTCTTTGAGCAAGAATTCTCCTCCCCTGTCAGTTCTAAGACACACAATTTTGTGTCCAGTCTCATTTTCAACTTGTGCTTTAAACTTCTTAAAACAACCCAAAGCTTCAGATTTTGCAGACAAGAAGTAAACCCACAACTTTCTACTTAGATCATCAGTAATAGTTAGGATATACCTCTTGCCTCCATTGGAAGTGGGAGTGATTGGACCACAAAGATCAGCATGTATTAATTGCAGTTTCTGACTTGCTCTCCAACTGCTTTTCTTGGGAAAACTGTGTCTGTGTTGTTTGCCTACTAGACAGGTTGAACACACACCTAGATCTCCTGTGAGCTTAGGAACTCCACTGACAGCCCCTTTCCTTTGTATTTCCAGCAAGCTTCTAGCATTCAGATGGCCAAACCTCCTATGCCAGAGAGTAGGGGTGTCGTCCTTCACTGTCTTTGTCTGCAGACACTGCAGATTTCCAGTTTCCAGCTGTGTGGCTTGCTTAGCATGAAGAACAAACATCCTGTTTGTCTTCATTGAGGTCTGCAGAAGTAAACCTTTATCTTCATGGAATATTTTGCAGTGGCCATCCTTAATTAAGAAGGATAGGTTCTTTTCTTGCAATTGCCCCACACAGAGCAAGTTTGTTTTCAAGCCTGGGACAAAAAACACATCTTGGATAACCAAAGGAAGCTCATCAACCTGCAACTTCACATTTCCTTTCCCTGCAACTTTCAGTGTGGTTCCATTTCCAAGCTTCACATTGCAGCTAAAAGTGGTATCAAGACTTGTAAACCACTTCTTCTCACCACACATATGGTTGCTGCAACCAGAGTCTAAAAACCACCAGCTTGTGTTTGCCTCTAGTTGATGTGCTTCCAAAAATGCCATTAAAGACACCTGATCAGCCTCTTGTTCTCCCTTTTCTTCAACATAGGCCATAAGAAGAACATCTTCCTTCATATCTAGTTGAGACTGTCTTTGAGTTCGATAGGAATCAGACATGGAGTAATGAACTTGCTGCTGATTGTATTGATTGTACCAATCAGGGCACTCACTTCTATAGTGCCCCAGCTTATGGCACTTGAAGCACTCAACCATATCACGATTCCATGACCTGCCTCCTCTTCCTCGACCTCTACCATAAAATCCACCTCTTCCTTGACCTCTTCCTCCCCTACTTCCATAATCATGAGTTACTTTAAGAGCTTGATCCTCTCCTGCTGATTGCTTATGGAATTTTTGCTCATGTACAAGCAATGAACTTTGCAAAGCATCAACAGACAGATCCTCTATATCCTTTGATTCTTCTATAGAGCAGACTATGTAATTAAATTTTTCTGTTAAAGTCCTCAGTATCTTTTCAACAATTTTTGCATCAGTCATTGACTCACCACAATTCCTCATCGAATTTGCCACTACCATGACCCTGCCGAAGTAGTCTGTAATGGTTTCTCCCTCCTTCATCT